ATTGTTATTGTTATTGTTATTATTATGTTTGTTCCATCGAGCAGTACTTTTCAGAACTTTCGAAGTTCATAGCATGCATATTCAAGGAATTCGTGATTTCAAAGTGTCCCGTAAGGAGTAAAAGGGAAAAGTGGATGAACAGAAGTGACCTGTGGAAACCGTAGCAATATATAAAAATAAAAAAAAAAGTAAAGCTATCCCTGTAACAGGCCGTGAAGGGCCATAGGGTAGTGACGTTGAGGGTCCCACATTTTGTTGACAATCGGCTCAAAGATGGCGGTAAGATTGTCAGCCTTACGCGCCGGCCGCGCTTTACTCCCCAAGAAAATTATTTAATTAACTCCTGGTACTCATTTCCGTTAGTGGCTGAGTCGATCCCAGGGCCATAGTGCGGCTGGAAGGATTAGGTCAATTGAAAAAAATCCAATGACCTCATCGGGACTTGAACCCGGGACCTTCCGGCTTGTAGCATAGTGCCTCAACAACTACCGCGTGCAATATACAGGAACTGTCAAATTTTGACTTTGAATTTTTAATGGTATTTTACTAGTAACGTAATGCAGTCAAATGTTAATATGAGGGGAGCATTAGTGTATGGATGCGCTGTTGGCAATACGGAGCACACGCAGTGGAGCGAGCAGCAAACAGGTATGAACCGTTGCGCTGTTCAAAGGCTGCAAAAACACATGTTCAGGGACATAGACCAGTTCCAGAAAAAAAATGAGCGATTTCCCCTCACCCGCCCCTCCTGTTGGTGGACGTCATTGCTATGGTTCAGTACCGACAGAAGAAAGTTGAAAACATGGCTCACATTGCTGGAACTGTGTGCGCAAGTAGAGGTCTTTGTACCCATTGTGCATTTAGCATCGAGGGTAGTAACTACAGGTCAAGTTGACCAACAAATAACAACAGTACAGCTTGTACAGTCAGACTCCTGACGATTGATAAGAAATCAGCTCTTTCCTAGCGTTTTTTTTTTTTGCGGATTCCAAGAAGAGTAGTCCAGAAGGAACCCAGTCACAACATGAATGCCGATCACCCTTTGCCGAGAGGTTGCTTTTACCGTTCTGAAGGCTTCGCTTCCTGAGTCGACCCCAGGGCCAGAGTGTGGCTGGAACTATTAGGTCAGCTGAAAAATTCAACCTCATCGGGAATCGAACCTGCGACCTTCTTGCTTGTGGCATACTGCCTCAATCAACAACTCTCAGCTTCTAACAGAAATTAGTACCAGGAGTCTTCCTGGGGATAAAGGGCGGCCGGTGCCCAAGGCTGACAACCTCCATCTGTGAGCCGATTGTCTAGAAACTGTGGGAGCCTCGATGTCTCACAACCCTATGGGCCTCCACAACCTGTTACAGGGATGATTTTACCTTTTATTATATTGAAACCACAGCTCTGTTAGTATGTTGACAAGATATCATCACTGGTCCCTATCCAGAGGCACATGAATCCACTTCACAACCCCTCATCCTGTTTGTTGAAAACCCATTTTAATATTATCCCCTTAGATCTTTTGAAGTAGTCTTTTTCCTTCAGGTTTACCTGCACCAAGCATTATATACAATCCCCTTCTCTTCCATATGTGCTACATACTCCACCAATCAAATCCCCTTTGATTTGATTATTCTAATATGTGGGAAGGAGTACAAATTATAATGCTCCTCATTACGCAGTTTTCTCCAGCTTTGTGTTACTTCCTCCCCTTTAGGTATAAATATTCTATTCAGTACCCCATTCTCAAACACCCCCATGTTAGGCAGTGAGTTTCAAGCCCATGGAAATCAACCAGTAAAATTACAGTTTTGTATATTTTATTCTGTCAGGACATGAACCTGACCACTCACCTGGAAATAATGCTGACAGAAATACATGAATCTACTCTATATGCCCACTCCCCCGTACGTCTTCATGGCATAGTGCTTAATCAGTTAAGCACAGTTACAACTTTAACTTTACCTTTATATTTTATTCTGTACATATTTAGATTGCAGATGGGAAAACCAAAGTTTCTGAAGTGAATGGTAGCAAACATGCCCTGAGTGTAATATGCCTTGAATTTCTTCATTTGAATGTTGTTCCTCCTTTAAAGCTGCAGCCATTAATAAGTAAAGCAGCTGTATTCTGGGCTACAAACGGTCACTTCTACTTTTATTGTATATAAATCATGCATAATGAGATCAGACACACTGANTCCGCAGCTATTCAACTGCTCTGAAGATGGAGGCGCTACGTTCCTCCGAAACGTCGGCCAAAACGAAGAATACACGGTGCCTAAACCCAGAAGACAACTTTCTTCATTGTCATCGCCGTGAAAACCTCAAAACTAAACATTCTCTTGTTTGTAGTATTTGAAGTTTTCGTATCAGTGGCTGGGGACACACAGTAGCGTAGTTGATTGAAGCACTATGCTACAAGCTGGAAGGTCATGGGTTCGATTCCCAGTGAGGTCATGGAATTTTTTCAATTGACCTAATCCTTCCAGCCACACTATGGGCCTGGGGTCGACCCGGCCTCTAACAGAAATGAGTACATGAGTACCAGAAATATTCCTGGAGGTGAAGAGCAGCCAGTATCTAAGGCTGATGAGCCTTACTTCCATCTGTGGGTTGATCATCTATAAAATGTGGGAACCTTGACTTCTCTCGACCCTATGGGCCTCCATGGGCAGTTACAAGGATAGCTTTGCCCTACAGTTTTTTTTTGGCCATAGTGGTTTTTATGAAGAGCTCCATCTTCTGAGATATAATGCCATATAATCTACCAACATTTCAGAGGAAAGTGTCGCCTCCAGAGTGCTCACTTTGCATGCCACCTGCTTTCACACTGGTTTCTTGCTGGACTTAGTCTTCATCCCTGAAGATGGAGGCAGCATTTTCCTCCAAAATGTCGCTTGACTTTCAACGAACTACATGGCATTATATCCCAGAAAAGAGAACTCTTCAAACACTCTCTTATTTGAGTTATGTCTGCTTTGTAGTTACAGCTAATTGCTAATTAATGCCCTTGAGTATTTTAATTAATACACAATTAAGTCAACTATTTTTAATTATGGAGTGCAAAAGGAATCTCAATAACATTCCTCATCTGTGTGTTCTGTAATGACCTACTGCCTTTGGAATTATGGATCCTAACCACGGACAATGTCTGTTGTGGTCTGGCAGATGCACTGCAGTGGCATCAGCAGTAAACATTTTATTATCTAATCACACGTGTAATATAAACATGTGGATTGGAATGCAAACGAGGGGAATCTGTCTGTAGTCTTCTAGGTGAATTCTACATAATTCAGTATTATCAAAATACATACTGTGTTGTAATCAGCCTGGGGCCATCCCAGATGGTGATAGGTGTCTGAGAAATGCACATTCTTTTGTCAAAAGTTGGGTCATGTGAGGGGGTAGAGAACTAAAGTTTTCTCCTACCAGTTATTATTCTACCAGTGCTCCATATTCGTCTATCAATTGGAGGCTGGTTACAAAGGCCCATCTACGATCACAATACCAAAGGACTCAGTATCATTCCATATCTGTAGGCAAAAAGAGCTACACATTTCTTGATTTCCTTACAGAATGCAGGCTTTGATGTTTTTCTTCATATAAATGAATAGTAATTTATAGCACAGTGAGTTTTATAGTATAAAAAATAAATAACAAGCTTTTCTATAGGAATAAATACTTTTCTCACTTTTATACTTCAAGCTTGTATGAAAAAAGGTAATCATATTCAAAATGTCTAGAAAATAAGTAACAGTTCCAGCAAAGGAACACAAAATGATTTTATGATAATGGGTTAATGCATAAGATACTTACTGTTAAGATTGTGTATTTTGGCCTGAATGGTAAAAGTAAAATGGATTATTTTATGATTGCATTTGCAGAGGCAAAATTAAATAAAATAATGTTTTGGAATGTTTATCCCAGATGTAAAGTTTTTATGTAAGTTACTGAAAAGCTTGATGACACTGACATAATCAGTCTTCCAGCATCATTTAAGTTTTATACATGAGAAAATTAGTCAGGTTTGGTGTGCATTTTATGTAGAGTATTACTTATGTTGTGCCAGTATGAACCAAAATGAAATTCGCTTCTAAGGTTTTATTATAGACCTCGGTAACAAATCTCTTCAAACCCCTATGCTATTAAAATTACAGCCTTCTGGTGCAGCAGCTTTCTCCAAAATGTCAGTAATCACCAGATCTTATAAGACCATGATCTTAACGTTGCTGTGAGAAAGCGTAATCTTGTCCCATCTGTAGTTTGACAACTGAATTATGGATGTACACTTCGTCATCATTATCTACTAAATTTATGTACGTTGTCCATTGTCCACGGAAGATGTAAAAATCATCAATGATCCTTGGGTTTGTGTGTTTTGTGTGACACATTATCTGTCACTGGTGTACAATGGTTCCCCATGAACTGTCTACACATTATGACCTTGCACTTGACATTTCAGTAATTCAGCCTTGCCTGATTATACATAACTTTCTAACCACATTATGACTGGAAAAGGATTAAACTACTTGCCTGTTGCATAATATGGCTTTTGAGCTTATAATGACGTTAAACTTGATCACGTGTATTCATAGCTTCATGTCTAGCAACAGAAGAATTTAGCTTGGTACTTGATGTTGGTATCTAACAAGATTTATTGCTTGCATTGCAATGTTTAATTCTGAGGGAAGAGAGGATGCATTATCTTCAGTGAGGTGATGGATATTTTTGTATCCTGATCAAATGCAGTCATTAGTTTCATAAATCAGAGCAAGGGCATGTGGATTCCACCCAGTGAAGTTTAATGGAAAATATGGAATGTATCATACCTTAAGGATGAAAAAGTTTGGGGGCCAGTAGCTGTTCACAGCTGTGCTTTGTTGAAAATTCAAGATAAATAAGTTTGTAGTGTTCGTGAATATTAATGAAGGTTTTATGTTGTAAATGGGACAGCATTATTTTCCACATTAATTTTGTTAATGCAATTGCACGTTTTTATCCTTTCAGGTGAAATATTAAGCCATGTGCTGCGTGTGGTTGGTGAAGCTCGGCAGAGAATGCTTGGGCCCTTCAGTCCATCATTCAATATTCATGATCTTTTATTAGAAGGACTGAACAAGGTAATGTGAATACATGAAAGCAGACCTGAATTGATTCCATTATGTGTACTTGTGAAGACACTGAATCACTAATTTTAAGCTGTTCTATCGTCACATAATAAATATTGTTTCAGATTCTAATATTGTACGTTGGAGGAAGACTGAATTTTCAGTGTTGAGTGTTTAACACAACAAATATTGGTAGGGGTGTACTCCATAATGTACTACACCAACTTCACAGCAGTGTTCTGTGCAGGCTTCCTTGCAGGCGGTTTATAAGATGTGAATAATGTTTTATGATGCACGTGAAAGAGTCCATATATGGCCTTCAGTAAAGTGGGTCAGGATGGCTGATGAAAATTGGAATTACCCCTAAAGTTGTGACAGCCCTCCATATTAAATTTAAAAGCAGTTGTTTAACGTTTTAGTGCAGATAGGTCACAGGTAAGTAGAAAGACCTAACTGCCACATTAAGACTCTTTTTTACTTTGTGCAGAATGCCTAATGAGACACCAGTTGATAGAAGTTTAGTATTTTAATAATTACTAATACTTGCTTAATTTGAATGAAATATTTGTCAGTTTACGAGAAGTGGTAGAACAATTGTGAAATATGAACTTGCACAGCAAGGGGAAGTAGCATGTAAGGTTGACAAACTTACTTCCCATCTGTGAGCCAATTGTCTAAAAAATGTGGGACTCTCGACATCTCACAACCCTATGGGCCTTCATGGCCTGTTACAGGGATAGCTTTAACGTTTTATAGAATATTAGGCCAAGAATGCATATAAAGAAGGGTTTTGTAATGCTGTGCAGTCCTAGAGAAGTCCATCAACATCTCATGAACATACTGCCTCAATATTCATGGACAAAGAGTATATCAAGCGAGAAAGCGGCCTCCGTAGTCTAGGGGTAACGTTCCCACCTCATGACTCAAGGTATGAGGGTTCAAACCTGGCGGAGGTCATGGAATTTTTAAGGGCAGAAAAATTCAGGGAACAAGCCCTCTGGGAGGGACTTTAAGCCGGGGGTCCCGTGTCGTAGATTTATGGCATGTAAAAGATCCTCATGTCTCTAGGAGACCTCTGAGAAAAATTAGGCAATAATTTCGCCCAAGTAGTTTCCAGTGCCTCTGGTAGATGGGGGAAATATCAGGTACCGACAGCCGACCTCGTTGGCTGAATGGGGCCGATAGCATGCACCAATACCGGTAGGGTATGGTGACAGAAGAAATTAAAGGGGGATGCACAATGGACCAATAACTGGTCTAAGTGCATGGGGAAACCCACCCCCTCTAATAATAATAATAATGTCAAGCGAGAAACCAACAAGAAACAGGAAAAAAGCAGATCCTGCCACATTTACTTCCTGCTTCTTGCCAGTTTCCTGGTTAGCTTACACTTTGGCCCTGAATATGGAAGCAGTTTGTTCCTCTGAAATATCAGTGTACATTTGTTGGACCACAAAGTGTTACTTCCTGAAGATAAGTCCTAGTCATCACTGTTAGAATCCAAAATGCAACAAGGATATGTACGAGGGTGTACCAAAAAGAAACCGAACTTTTTTTTTTTAACTTATTTATTCAAATTTTAAGCACAAATCTTCAATCCCCTTCAAAGTACTCTCCACTTACACTAATACACTTGTCTAGTCTTTTATTCCATTTTTCAAAACATTGTCTAAATTCATCTTTTGAGATGCTTGACAGCACCTCCGTCGTTTTTTCCTTCACCTCAGCAACATCAGCAAAACGCTTTCCTTTCATGTCTCTTTTCATTCGAGGACTCAGGACTCTTCTTTCAAAGCACAGCATGCTTCCACACGGCCTTGTTTTTGTTCAGCAGTCAGCAGTCGTGGCACGAATTTCGCAGCCACCCTTTTCATTCCCAAATCTTCTGTCAAAATTCGCTGAACTGAGCTCCAAGTCACTCCCGACAGCTCCACGATTTCTTCAATGGTCCGTCGTCGATCTTCCTTGATGATTTCACGAATTTTTTCAACATTTTCATGTGTTTGGGCCGTGGAAGGACGACCAGAACGAGGTTTGTCATCAATTGACATTTCACCATTTTTGAAACGGGGAAACCACTCAAACACTTGAGTTTTCCCCATAGCATCGTCCTTGTACGCCGTTTTTAACACTTCAAGAGTTTCTGTTCCACTTTTCCCGAGCAAAAAGCAGAATTTCACCGCCGCACGCTGTTCACGAAAATCAGCCATTGCAAAAATGACGATCACACAAAACAGTTGTCACCATAAACTCTGCCGAAACTAGTCCTTACCTTCTGAAGCAACGGTAGTCAGCTTATTGACTCAGGAATGTTAGCTCTATGCACTCATAGCGGTAAAACGCAGTACTACAAAAGCTCTGCCCACAAAAAAATTAGTTTGGTTTCTTTTGGGTACCCCATCGTATAATTTGGTACATTTGTGTTACTGATGTAGTTGAACTCCTTTCCTTCTAGGCACTTCCTGAAGATGCCCACTTGAGGGTGAATGGGAAACTCCATATTTCTCTGACTCGAGTTTATGATGGAAAGAATGTTATTGTTTCTCAGTTCAGTAGCAGAGAGGACCTTGTTCAGGTGAGACAGATTGCAGAAGAAATGTGGAGTATGGTTCATTTAGCAGAACTGGGAAAACTTTATCTCCTTTGATAACTGCAAGTAATTCTAAATACTGTTTAAGATAAGTCTGAATGGCTGTGATGAAAGTATGTTATTTGACTCACACATGTATAATGGATATCATCCATGATTTTGTTCTGATGAAAGAAATAACATTTCACAAGCTGGCTGTGCTATCTTTGACATATGAAATTATGAAACGTACTGTGTTGGGTCCAATAGATGGATACCTGGGTCAGGAATGGGGATTGGCTCCATCTAGTGGACTCAGCAAAACATGCTTTATACTTTTGTCTGGTGACAGGAACAGAGCTGGCTTTCAAAATGTTTTGCCACTTTTTCCAGAATGAGATGATGGAAAATGTTCCATTATGTTTGCCTCAGTTTAAGCCATGCTTATTTCATTGAACTCAGGTGTTCATCCTATCACGATATTAATCTACTCTGTTATCCTTACAGGCTCTCCTGGCGACCTCATTTATTCCAGTTTTCTCTGGAATTCTCCCTCCCAGGTTCCATGGAATACGATATATGGACGGAGGGTTTAGTGATAACTTGCCCATGCTAGACGAAAACACTATTACTGTGAGCCCATTCTGTGGAGAGAGTGACATTTGCCCCCGTGACTTGTCGTCTCAACTTTTTCATGTAAGTTAAAGGCATGCAAATCATGCAATGAGATAAGATAAAACACTATTTAAAAAAGTAATAAAATATATCCAGTTCATTCATTTCAGTACTATAAAGAAATTGTTTAAGATGAATGATGGTATCAGTATTCTATAGTAAAATGGAATTTTATGTAACCGCCGTTTTTCTGTTTCACAGATAAATTTCTCGAACACAAGTATTGAGCTGTCTCGTCATAACATCTATAGGTTAGTCAGGATACTGTTTCCACCAAAGCCAGAGGTGAGATGACAAGCCAGATGTTTTGAACATGTTTAACATAAACTATTATGGAGCTGATGAAAAACAGTGTAATGCCAAATTTATTTGATTGAAATGTGGAAACAGATAAATATTTTCTAAGGGTTAATTTAATGTTCTTTTCTTATCTTTGTCAGGTTTTGTCTAACATGTGCAAACAAGGATTTGATGATGCACTGATGTTCCTGCACAGGAATAACCTCATCAGCTGCACAAGATGTTTGGCTGTTCAGTCAACATATGTCATATCAGAGACCATGGATGAGAGTCTTGAATTTGACCCAGAGTGTCAAGAATGCAAAATTCACAGACAAGTGAGTGTCATAGGCTTAAACAAATAGCTTCATATGCAGTTCTGTAGAATGTGGTTCTTAATTGTATTTTAACTTTTTTCACTCAAGCATTGTGGGCTGCTGTGTTAACTTCCATTCCACTTCCAATGTGGCAAATCAGAATTGTAATTAAGATCTAAAAGTTTGTGATGATGGTAAATTGTTACAATTAATATGTTGCTGGACATTATCCATCATCTTGTCTGTTCTTAAAAAACCGCCTAGTTTCTATTAAAAACACAACATTTCGGGAACTGGAATCTGAAGACGGGGACAGATTCCAGTTCCCGAAACGCTGTGTTTTTAATAGAAACTATACGGTTTTTTTAGAACAGACAAGATGATGGATAATGTCCAGCAACATATTAATTGTAACAGAATTGTAATTATTTAAAAAAATATTTTTGTGGTTCAATTTAAATCTGTAAATGTGGCTAAATTATTTCTTCAGATTTTAATTACTTACCATGTTGAAGGGGGGCATGCAGTAACATAGCTGGTTGAGGCACCATGCTACAAGCCAGAAGATTGCAGGTTTGAATCCCGATGAGGTTATTGGATTTTTTAGTTGACCTTATCCTTCCAACGTCACTATGACCCTGGGGTTGATTAAGCCTCTTAACAGAAATGAGTACCAGGAATCTTCCTGGGGAGTAAAGGGTGGCAGGAGTGTAAGGCTGACAACCTTACTGCCATCTGTGAGCTGACTGTCTAGAAAATGTGGGAGCCTCAGTGTCCCACTACAACCGTACGGGCCTTCATGGCATGTTACGGGGATAATTTTACCTTAACCATATTGAAGAAGAAACATGATTACATAAGGTTAGATGTTCTCACATCACTGAATATTAAGACTGCACTCTTCTGGGATGTAATGCCTTATAGTCTGGTAGATGGTTACCAACATTTTTGAGGAACCTACTGTCTGCAGATCATTGATAAACCATCTCCTATACTGTACAACATCACATCCCAGAAGACTGCAGTCTTGAGAAACGAAAGCAATTTAATGATAAATTCATATTTTGATAAATGTTTCAGGAAGCACTTGTCTCAAAACTCCCGGACACCATACTGTCCCTTTTTGAAGAAGCAATGGAGTCTGCCAACCAGGGTATTGTAAACTGGATATTCAAGCATCGTGGGTTGAAGGTTCTGTCTGTTCTCAGCTTGCCATACACCTTGCCTGCTGAAATTATCTACGCCACGTTCACAAAGTATGCACCTGAAACAGGGTTATTTCTGTATCTGATGCAGTTTTCTGCATGCAGAAGGAAAATCGTGATTTTAAAATGAATTTGAATTCCATGAAGTATATAGCCAGTGGCCTATGTATGCTAGCAGTATGATCTCACTGACCTCAAACATAAGCAAACTTTCTACCATAATTACTAGCATCCTCATACTCTTGCTCTTCTTCCTACCCACTCTCTTTCAACTTTTAACATTTCCAGCTCCTCAGTTCCTTCCCATACGCTTCCTTCTGTGTGTTTTCCCCTCCTTCCTCTTGGTATTCCTCTTACATGTTTCATTTTCTCTTTAGTATCAAGTTAAAATCTCATTTTGGGGATTATATTTGTTCATTTATAAAGCATATCCATACCAATTTATTCTGTTATTTATTGAGTTACATATAAATTCTCACTTGTGCCTAGCATACTTTTCTTTTTAATGAAAAAACCATTACGACTTAGTTATTTAAAATTATTGATGTTGCGAAAAGGCATCTGTGTGAGTAAGCAACTTTCTGATTGTATATTTATATTAGTGACATTTTAGATTTAAATATCTGAGGGGTACATGCATGAATTATGCATTATTTAGTAATATTGTAGAAAGATGGGTAAAGTTACAATACCATTTTCCTGGTGTTAGTTATGTTGGTAACACCGTACACACACACTCTTATGAATTTCGTGTGGTTGGAAATGCAACATTCAGAAGCCTGACAAATCACTATGGCAGCCACGTTCACTCTCGGCATGTAACGAATCACAGAATGAGGTAAGCAGAAGGCATTACAGATGGGTTACATGTTGCTTTGTTGCTTTTATGAACTAGTAAGTCTGTGTGTGCTTTGTAAGTTAAAGTTTTTTATTCAATGTCAATTCCTGTCTGGTTCATATCCTATGATTACACAACAGAAATGCAAAACTGAGTAATCAGTATTAGTTTGCTATAGTAGTCAGTTGCTTTGTTCTCGCACATTAAATGGATAAAGTATTACAAAACTGGTCATTTGAACATTGACATAACAGAACTGAAGTATGGAAATTGACAAAGAAATATGAGCCAAGAAGAAAAATACAGACTTAAAAGATGAAGTTCCAGAAATGTGGGTGGCTATTATTAAAAGGTCAGATTATGAATATGCAATGTACAACATTAGAAATGAATAATACTGAATTTAAATAATAAAATTATGAATAGTAGAAATAACTGGACATGCCATGCGTAAAGAGTGGAACTTTAACATACACATGGACAAATAATGAACTTTATATTCAAAGGAAGAAAATTCAATGGATTATGGAGGAATGGAGCTATTCAATAGGACTGAACAGAACTGAAAGCACATTTGTTGACTTTGATGATGGTGATGAAGATTATTAAACATGAGACTAGAAAATGTTCGCCCATTTAAGAATTTTATTCTGGGGCATGAGACATTAGAAATGCATACAAAATTTTGGTAGAAAAAGAGACCCCTTGGAAGTCACAAGCATAAACAGGAGGATTATATAGAAATGAATTGTATGGTTCAGATGTAGGACTTAGTGGCAGGGTCTTGTGAACTGCAGTGAACCTTCAGGTTTCATGAATTGCTGCAAATTCCTTGAAAAGGTGACTGTTAGCTTCTCAAGATAGACTCTCTTTCATGGAGATGGTCTTGTACATATATTCATTCACCAGTGTCATGTGACTGAAACACTAAAATACAGATGGCTATGGTTTGGAATTCATTAAATTTGTCTACCGCTTGTTATGTCATGTTTGAAAGCTGAGACACATCTTGCAAAATCTGTAATGCCTCTGCTTAAATGTGTTCTGCAATTTGCTGCATATGTGGGTTTTTGTTTTTGCTTCTTCCCTTTTGGAATGTGCCATGAGTGTTGTTTATGCATTGTGCTTGAAAATGGGGAATTCTTGTCTTCTCAAACTTTCTTATAATGTTGGATCATGTTTTTATTTGAAATTCTCACAATGGTCAGTATGAATATTGTTCTTTTTGGTAATATGACCCTGTATACTGTTGCTAGATCCTTACTGACATTTCATAGGAATGTGCTACCTTAGTCTTCAAGTAAAATAACCGTCTTAGGAGCCTTGTATTTTTTTCATAATTCTCATTTTATTGGTCTGCTCAGGGCTCTAATGTTCCCTCTCCCTGTATCTGTACCACTCAACCTTGCCCAGCATACCCTTATACCCTGAAGATGGAGGCAGCACATATCTCTGAACATCATAAAGGTGTACTAGACTTTGCAGCATGACATCCCAGAAGACAGCAATCTCCATATTTTTATTTAATAAATTTACTGTAATTATTTTCTTGGTTTGGCTTCAAGATTACATTTCATAGTGTAATAATATTGTGTATATGTGGAACTAAAATTATTATGCTGTTACTGGTAGCTCTAAATGACATGGCAGAAAATAGGCAAGATATGAGTTGATTTTTTGATGATTATTATATTGAAGCATAAATTTTTATGTTAATATTTCATATACTTTTAGAGAAGGAAGATATATTATGATGGGGGCATTCTATTTCTCTCTCATATGGTGATGAAATTGAAAATACTTAATGATTCACATGTTATATACTGTTGTTGGTTGCACAGTTCAGCCAAAGTTGATTTTCCTTCTTTCATTGATCACACTCTTCAATTTGGAATAAATGTCATATGTTAAAGAGTACTGATGATGATTTCTTGATTAGATTCATGGCGAATGCACCGAATCTGTGCAGCAACGTGTGGCTATTGGGTCAGTACCTGTTGAACCAGCTGTTAGCCCTCCTAAACAAAATGAACAAGAAACATCAGCAGCCCAGTACCAAAGTCAGATGTCAGCTTGCAATTACCGAATTTGGAGGCAGTAAGTGTTGGTGTCTCTGTTATTTAGGGTGTACAGTAAAATCCCATAAAAGGTTTCTTTGGAGAACAGTGTTCATTCATTCATCTGTAATCTGTCAAGACAACAGGTCCACAGTCTCTTCCAAAACAGTTCCTCCACTTAATGTGATCTAGAGCTTTCTCCTTCAAATGAAAATATCCTCTTCTGTCCCCAAGGTCATCCAGCATCTTCTTACGTCTTCTTCCTCGTCTTCTGGTCACTTCTATCTGCCCCTCTATCTTTCCTTCAATAACTTCTTTTAGAAGGCAGTTACCGCGTAAGATATGACCAATCCAATTAGCCTTCCGTTTTCTTATTTCGTGTAGGATAGTCCTCTGTTCACTGACTCTAAATAACACTTTTTCATTTCTCACATAATCGGTCCAACTGATCTTCTCCATCCTTCTCCAACACCACATTTCGAAGCTTTCCAGGTGTTTCTGATCTACAGTGTATTTGAACATTAAACTGAGGTAAATCTTGAATATTGGTACCATAACACTGAGGTGCTGACTTGGGATGATTGAAATTGAATGTTAATTGAGGATATAAACCTGAAGGGAACATTGAATGGGGATCCTATACATATTGTGACATGTTGCGCAATGGAGGACACCCCCTCCCTCCCCCAGCAGTGACGTGGCGGGTGAGTCAGCGCTCCGCCCCCCCCCCTCCGCACTGTGACATGGCACACAACGCCGCTGTCAACACAGCGTCAGGCAACAGCGGTACCGATTATGTAACAGGCAAACACTGCGACTATATAAGAGAACTACACAGCCGCCGAAGTCAGTTAAAAGTGTACCAGCGACCGAAGACAGTTCTCAAGTCAGCAGTGAACAAGTTAAAGGTGTATCAGCCGCCGAAGTGAGTTCTCAAGTCAGCAGTGGACGAGTTAGTGTGTGAGCTGGAGCAACACAGTTGGAGTATAGCAGCAGTTGTGGAAAGAAGCACCGGACACGTATGTGATAATCAGTGATAGTTCGTGATAACTGAGTAATAATTGGGAGTGTGTAATACAGTGACACTTATATAGCTCCCGTACTGTGAATACGTGTAGACTACTGAAGATAGAGTGAACAGATTATTGTGAATAGGGTTATAAAGTGTGAAACCCCGCAGAGTGAAGAGATTATTGCGAATAGGGTTATAAAGTGTGAAACCCTGCAACAGTGTTAAATCAATTGTAGCCGATACTTGTAGGTTGTTAAATAAACCAATTAACAATCCGAACGGCGTCTTCAGTGTCTAACACGTTACAATATATATATTTAGCTGAAAGTATTGAGATGACAGTGTGACTGAAATTGCTTTTATTATTCAGTTGTGTTTTAGCTTTAGGTTAAATTTTGGTCTGTTTTATTACAGCCAAATATGACATAGAGAGCACTGAGGACACTCCTGTTGCTGTGAAGAATAAGATGAATATTAACTTCACACTCAATCTTGATGAAAGGTGAGTGACTTCATTTAAATAATGTGATTTTTGTATTCCTATAATACAAGTATGGTCTCCTGGCTTGTAACGCCATATATAGTCTGTAAGAAACAAAGGGTTCTGCTGGTCACTTCTTTCTTGTTTCTTGCTTAACCTACTGTAAACAGAGACATTATTTTCCTCAGAAAAATTGGGCTCTCTCCTAATCACACTGTACTCTTCTTTTCTGACTTGATTACGAGAAGGAAATTCCTGTTGATCAAGAGAAAATTTAGTCTGTATTTATCATAAAACCCTTCCTTTGTAGAATGTTTTAACCCACTGTGTCCTAATAACAAGCCTGTGCTACCACATAAGTCTGACTTAACCTTTTCCAAGTTGTTTCATCTGTCATGTCCTCCGCGGTATTCAGGCTGGCTCTGAGGCCCATCCAGCCTTGTATGCAGTAGGTATCATGGGCTGTTTCATGAGGGATAAAGCAGCTGGGCCACAAAGCTGCCCCCTCACCTTTGTCTAGTGCTCACTTTAAGAAATCATGGAGCTATACCTCCACTCCCCATACTTCTTTATGGCATTGTATGTAATTATGCATCAGGGGCAGCTTTTATCTTTTGGGAATTTCAGTAGGATTTCAAGGTCATTAAATGTGTTACTGAAAGATCTGTTAAGGAATGATTTAATAAACATTAGAAGTTGTCAGCAAGTGTAGGAAAAAATCTTGGATTATTGAATAAACACCACAAGAAGTTGTATTCTGTGGTGTAGGGAGGCTTAGCCATGCTGAGACACCAAGCCTCAGGGGGTCCCTTTCTGCCTTCAAGTAGCCTATATTTATCTGTAAATATTAATCATTTTGTCAGATTGGTGTATTAGCCTCAGTAATAAAGATAAAATGGATATGTAACTTCATGTGATATCTGTAGTAGATGAAATAGCACTGGAGCAGGTTTATCTCCACAAATTTCTTCAGTTTCCCCCTACAAATCATCGCTCCACCATCGCTGCATACTCATCTGTCATCATCCCATGAGGTGTGTGATAGCCCTGACCAGACAGAACATTATTAGGGACTCGTCCTTTAAGCTGAGGGATTCATCCCTGAGCCAGAACTTGGCTGGTAACAGAGGAAAGATTTTTTTTCTTAATAATAAATAAGGGCACTATCATAAGATGACTTCAGGATCACCAAATTTAGGTCATTTAAAATTTCCATTTTAACACTTCGCACATTGCAGTGCTGGATAGCCACACAGCTTCTGGTGTGTTTAGGGTTGTCATGGGTGGGATGCCTAGTCACATAGGGGCTCAAATGTGTTACTGCATATGACTACTAATAAATCTATATGACATAATTCAAAGATAAATATGTTCTAATCTGTTTTGTTTGTGTCTCCATTAGAAATCCATCTGAAACAACAAATGTACGGAAATTGCCACCAACACTGTCAAGACAGCCAAGCCTTACCGTGAATTACACTGATCGTGGGGCACAGGTGGAAGACGACACATTTGAACACATTTTGCAAGAGACAGCACATCATGATACTGTGATGGCTTTTTATTATATGGATGAGAACAACAAGGTACAGTTCTTTGAGCAAAATGTTTATTTTTGTCTCCCCCTCTGTGTGTCCCTTCTTGTCAGTCTCATCTTTAGGACTGTGGACTAAAGCTGAGAGTTGTGGGATATTGCCAGTTACTAATCATATGCAAACTATTGCACTGTCAGCTTGAACCAACAGAATCTCAGTATGTGCGTGACAATTCCTGCACTACTCTATAAACTCTTGTCTACAATTTGTGTTGCAGGTTAAAGTAACAGAGATAGTTGATGTAACGGACGCAGATTCCAGCATTGTGCTATCACCAGAAGAATGCGAAAACAATATTCAACTGGAATTTGATGATGATGATGAGTGGCTCTCACAACATGTCATGCAAACAGAAGGTCAGTATCACAGTGACATCACCAGATTAACTATTTTTCATATTGTGATGGTACTTTGGTGGGTTTGTGATAAGTTCCTGAACCCTTTGAGATACAGTGCATCAGGAAGAAGTCTTCTCTTTTTCTTGACTGCTGTCCTCTTCTTTTCCCTTCACCCTTTTATTATTATCTCTGTTCTCTAACTTCTTATATTTCTTCTCCTCTTCCAGCCCCTTCACTTTCCCTTACTTCATGTTATCTTCATCAGGCCAAGTTCATCTAGCAGCAATGCTCTGCACTTGTATTTGGGAGGCGCTCGGTTCAAATGGCAGATGGGATACTGGTTATCTTGAGATTTTTATGATTTTCCTCAGTTCCCCTGGAGAGTTGCTGGGCTATCATACCTCTATAAGGCTGTGATCACCTACTTTCAAATCCGTTCCAATTCATTATTCTGTAATCAACCTACTACCTGAAGCTATGTACAGTAGTTCAGATAGTAACATCATAAAATAACCCACATATTTGCACACACATAGTCATTATTATTATCATCTTATCTTTTCCTCCCCTGCCTCTTTCTTCCTCCTTCCCTGTTTTCTTTTTCAGCACTGTCACTCACAGTTATGCATTTTGGGTTTGAAAGGGTTAATAAAATGTATTACCTTTTTATTCTTTTACACGGGTTTGAATGGCAGAACCAAACTTGTGGATCTGCAACAGGCCTTGGGGCCTAATCCTTGGTGTAGGAGCAGATATGGACTTGACATATCATCTTCCTCACCAGCTTGAGTGAGGGTGTTGGAGAACAGGGTGCTGAGGAGAATAAATGGATGTAAGAGGGAGGAAGTAACAGCAGGATGGAAAAAATTGTGTAATCAGTAGGAGGTTCACAATTTATACTTTTCACTGGATACGATTAGGGTGGCCGAACAAGGGAGCATGAGATAGGCAGGACATGTAGCTAACATGAGAAATGGATGCAGAATTTTAGTCTGAATACTGCAACAAAGAGACCACTTGGAACATCTATCTGTAAGTAAGAGAATAATATTAAAAGTAAATCTTAAAGAAGTGTGATGTGTGGATCAGCTTGAGATTCTTGGAAACATGATAATGAGTCTTCAAATTTCTGAAATCTCTGAGGACATAATAGCCTTTCAGCTCCATGGAGTTTGTAAATGTTTCATAATAAAATATGTTGAAGAATGAACTGGGACCAGATTCATAAATGATTGAGATCTTTGGGCAGAGTCTGTTTGTGCCCTGAGTTCTAGTCCAAGCTTGACAGACATTAATCTGCCTGAAAAGCTATTATAGTTCAAGAATATTCTTCTTTTGTGAAGCTACAATACTGGTAGTGGTAGTAGAAGTTAACTGGTAAGTTGGATTTGAAGTTCCTGCAGTGGTAACTATGAAAAATATAGTATTGTTGGTTGTAAGTCTGAGAGACGGGCCCAACTTGGCACAGTCTTCTGCTGGTTTCTTGCATGGCTTACTTTTTGACCTTGAAGATGATGGCATTGTGTTCCTCAGAAATAGGCTGTCTCAGAACTACACAATGTCACAACCTGGAAGACCTATACTCTTCAAATGTGAGTTACTTTTAAGCGAGATTAATTTTTTTCTGTACTGTTACAGATGATCTATATTATGGGGAAGATGAGCTGCGAATGTCTGATGTTTCAGTGGAGGAAGGCAATGTTGATGGTGCCGATTCAAGAAATATCTTCTCAGACCCTGAAAGCGAATGGAATAGTCCTGAAACTTATAGGAAACTGTCTGCAGAAAAGTTGAATAACATGAAGGAGGCATTTAGTCTTTCACCAAATTCTCTGCCAGAGTCTGACCAGCGCACTGATGATGAACTTGGTGATCAGCCCCTACAAAGAAAGCCCTCATATGTCATAATGAGCAACCTTGTATGAACTGCTGTATCTCATCCTCTCAAGGGGGATATTTGCACCTATGATGGCTGAGAACTGCAGTTTCCACCAAGAGGTGGGAAGGTTTGATGTATAGAACAAATCAAAGATATGTGATATATACCTCAGAAATAGAGCCTCAAGATGGTCTGTAACCATAAATAAACATGACCAATTTCCTTTTTGAGGTAGTTCAGGCCCTCTAGAAAGTTTTGCACTACATAGGGCCAGTATAAAATCTGAGGTTTTCCTGCTGTTGATTATGTAATGGTGCTCTGGCATATATCATTTAGTACTGCAGATGTGTACCAGTGTTGCAGACAGACAGGGCAGAAGACTTCTACACTGAAAATGGGAGCAATATGTTCCTATTAGATGGTACCCCTTTACCACACTCTGCAGTGTCTTAACCCACAAAACCTCAACATGTGTACATAAAGCCCATTTAAGATTGGTCACAGTGAATCAGGAAATTGAAATCAAACACCTAGAAGCATCACAATATCATGCTAAAATCTGGATCTCCTCCCCCTGCTCATTATTATTAATCTTCCTTCGATGGTGCCTCTTCTGTGGGCATTTCGCAATCAGGCCTCTCCATCTATCTCTGTCTTCCCAGAGCTGCACCTCCCCAGTTTCCTCCCATATGCTTTCTTTATTCTGTGTGATATATTTCCTAATCTGTTCCCTCTTGGGCATTTTCCTTTTAGTTTAATTTTCATAACGTTTATAATTGTGTCTTTGGTCATTTTTTAAACATGTCCATGCTATCTTGTTCTGTTTTTGGGCATTACTTAATATTAATCTGTGTTTGGTCAGTCTTGTGAGTTTACATGAGCTGGGTGAATGACATTTTATCTTTAAATGTGGCAACACTGATGAGAGGAGCTGGGCTAGCGCAGTTGGTATAGTGACTGGCTATGAGTTGGACAATGGAGGTGTCGGAGTTCGAGTCTCAGTAGGGTCAAGAGTTTTCTCTTCTCCACATCATCCAGACTGGATCTGGGGGCCCACCCAGCCTCCTAATCTATGTGTACTGGGGACTGTTTCCATGGGGGTAAAGTGGTGAGGGCTTCAAACTCTCCACTCACTTCCAACCAATGCTGAGTATGAGGAAATGTGGATATATGCATCAACTCACCCATAGGCCTTCATGGCATAGTGCGTAATTAGTCAGGGACAGCTTTACCTCTTAAACATTGACGAGAAGCCAGGTTGAAGGAATGTGCTGTCAGTAAGGGAGCCCATACACATACGAGTCTGGCTTGCGAGTCTGACTCGGCTCAGGTTCCAATGAGCCAGACTTATCCGTGCATAGGTTGCCATACTCGTGTGTGGTGAAATTAATCCGAGCCGGGCTCGCGAGCCACGCTCATCTGTGTATGGGCGGCATAAGACTGAATCTGCTTAAGATCTTACAGAGCTCGTCATCTGTTTAGGGATTATAATTTTACAGTAACCGTAAACAGTGCAGAAAACCAAGCTTCCTTAAAGCTCAAGCCCCCCCTCCTGTAATGATTAGTTTTTACAAGATGAGTTTTAAAACTTTGAAACTTGTCAGTGCGGCTGCTGTAGGGTGGAGAGGTCTTCCTAATTTTCTAGTGTAAACGTTTAAGACCTCGTGTCTTGTTTGTGTACTCAGTGTTAATTTATATATTATTTTTATTGATATATATATATATATATATATATACACATGAAGTAAAAATTGTATTTATATTGTAAATAATATGTTAAAATATGAAATAACTATTTTGTAGGTTTTTATTAAATTTAAATTGTCCTAAACGAATTATAAGGGGTTATTATAGTGGTATGTTACATTGTGTTAGGGGGTTTCCAAACTCTGTCCATCATTTAATATTCATGTTCTGGAAACTATGTTTCCATTGTCAGGTGAAAAAAATTGATATGCAAGTATTCAATTGTTTCCATCAGAGTCCAGTGATTAATGACATCCCCAGCTTCATATCTGAGAATGTAAATGGAAGCAGTTTCTGATGCATCATTTTCTCTTTGGAATGCTGCTAGACAATGGACAAAGTCCAGAAACCCCATAATACAAAGCCAAATTTTCATGTTTAATTGCTGATGTGTAGTATTAAAATGCTGCTTTTCTCTGAATTCTCAAGGGTTTGCTTATGCCATTTGGGAACAAAACAGAGTTCTTCCATAAACACAGGCTGTACATCCAGTAACATTACTTCTATATTTTCTTTTTAATTATGAGGAAGATTTTTTCTATCTATGTCTGCCATACTATATCTGCATCAGATTTTCCTTTTTTTAATTTGGAAAATGTAATTCTTGAACGTTTTGACACTACATTTCAGTCAGTTATTGGATAAGAATTAATCTGAAAATGTAGTTAGCATGACATACCTGCATATTAACTGTAGTTCCTATAGTAAAGCCATAACAAACACAACAGAACATTTATGCTTACATAATCTTTTTCTCTTTTAGTGTCCCAATTTCTTGTATATACACAAATTTGCATTTAATATGTGGTTTCAGCATTTGCTGCACTAGGACAAAAGAAAAAAGGAATATTTGCTATCACATGAAAATCACATAGAGATGAACTTGAATTTTGTTAACATCTTAAAAATGTTATGTTTAATCATTTCTCTACTTGAAAATATGTATAAAAATTTGGACATTTTGTGATATGTGATGGTTACATGATAAAATGGAGGCCAGTTAGACAAATTTAATGTGCTTGTACTTGTTTCAAGTATCTTTTGAAGGTATATGACTGATAACTATTTATTTGGTTTCTCAAGTGGCCATGTTGTAGAGCAATAAAAACCTGTCATTATAGATTGAAGATAACTTCATCCAGGATCATCTTTCCACAGCAAAATAATGCACTGGGAACTGTCACACCTATTTATAGTATTATTTTTGTATGTATATTATGTATAGTTGAATTGTGATTAAATAAATTATCTATTTTGTACATGAGCATTTTCACATGGTACCTGTTTTGATGTTGTCCAGCAGTGGTGTCTAGTTCCCTTGATATGTGTGGATACAAGGTAAGCCCAGAGAAATGTGACTGAGCCCTTCTGATTGAAACAGTAAGGACTTGCAACGCCATGTTTTGTAACAATTTGCTGATAATGTAACTTTCTTGTAAGTTGAAACTTAATATTATTGATATTTGTAATTGCTACATGTTGGTCTCTTGTATGGCTTATGCTTCAAGCATGAAAATGGGCATTCCTCTGAAATACAGAGGGGTCCAAAAAAGTACTCTATCTTTTGAACAAAATGACATGTAGTTACAATTCTTGTGCGGAGAGAGTCATTGTACGCGTTCAAAGTGACTGCCATCAGTGACTAAACAACGTCGATGCCGCCGAACTGCTGAGCGAACTACGGCTGTCAGTGTGTCAGGTGTGATGGGTGTGATCGATGCACACGACGCTTCGATGGTTTCTTCATCCTTCAAGGTTCCCCATGGGTAGAAGTCGACAGGTGTTAGGTCTGGATACCGTGGTGCATACTCAGTAGCATATCGAGACCAATCAAACCGTGCAATGACAGACCACACCACACATTAACACCCGGTAGATTCACTTCCTTGCCCACGTGAACGTGTGGACTTACTGGAGCCCAATACACACAATTGTGGCGGTTAACAGTACCTTTCATTTTGAATTGCGCCTTGTCAGACCACATAACTTTTCCTGCACACTCCTCATCCTCGCGAACCACTCGCAGTATTCAAGCCTTCGATCCGGGTCGTCCTCGTTCATAGCGTGCAGCAGCCTTGGAATGTACACTTTACACTTTGCAGCCTTCAGAATTCGCCGTACACTTGATCGATTTACCCCACTTTCGCGTGCACACTGATTCAAAGATTTTTGCGGTGATCGTATAAAGTGTTGCAACATCACAGCACTGGAAGCTGGACTTGTTACTATCCGAGGTCGCTTAGTTCTTTGGTTATGCACATCATGAACAGTGCCGTCGGCTTCAAATTTATCCCGAATACGGACAATTGTTCGACGTGTTGGTCGCTGAGTTGCAAACTCATTCTGCCATTGTCGTTGTACCTCTTTAATGTTTTCGTACTTCCAGTACCACTTCAATACAGCCTTGCGTTGCTCAAAGGACAACCTTTCAACCATTGTTGCTGCTGTCTTCTGCTTGCAGCGCGAACGCGGCACGACACTGACGTGACTCATGTGACCTTCGCCATCTGTTGAGAAAACATTACACTACACTACCGCGCAAGAATTGTAACTACATGTCATTTTGTTCCAAAGATATTGACTATCAAAAGGGTACATTTGTTTGGGCCTCCCTGTAGTGGTTGACTTGTAAAGGACTAACTACATGGTATTAAATCACAGAAGATAGGACCTTTGATATTTCAAATTGTTCCGTATGTTTAAATAATTTCATGCAGCCTCAATAGTTATGAAAATTGTTTTATGCCTGTAGGTGACCCCGTGTAATTTGGTAAATTCATACCGGAATGTTGAAGAAAAATGCTTCCTGCAATATAAGAATAGAAAAGTAATTTAGTTGCTTACACTACAGAATATGACGACGGATTTTCAAGTAACAACTAACAATCCTTGACGAAGTAGGATTAAATCTCCGCTTGAACGCAAAGACGTTTAATTTTGTGCTATTGGTTACCCTGATAGCTTGTGTGTCTGTTGAGTGCTTGAATGTATCAATGCGCAAGTTGATTGTTGATGTTGTGGTTTGCGTGTGTACGTAAATGATGTAAATAGACTCGCAACGAAGGTGATATGAGTTTTTGTAATGCTTTGTTCAAACCTTCAGAGTTCCATTTGTCTGCATGAATAGAAAAAAAATCCGCTCTGAAATGTTTTTACAGGAGCTGGTATAGGATTCCTGAGTTTGAAACAGTAGTTCTAATTTGAAGACCGTGAAAGTCCGAAGTACAAATGTCAGAGTTGAAACAGAAGGGTTGTGAATACCTGAAATATTAAGAAACAGTCGGGTATTGTTTGATTGGAAGGTATTCTTACACGTTTAAGTAAGAGATTTTGTAAATTCACACAAGAAATTGCGTGGTGATAGGAAAGTAACGTTGAGGCGTAAAGAGATGCCAATATAGTAATGTGTAAAATTTACACGCATGGTACTTAAAAGGTTATGTGATTGATCAATAATACAAATAGGCCACCTGCAGCCCTTCGGTCATTGTCCTAAATTGAATTATTTGCTGCATTTAATGTCCTTTAGTGTAAATAAAATCATGCAGGGAGATTTTATATTTTTATATGATGATTATTTTATTGTCATAAAGACAAACACAGAAACAATAATTGATACTAGTAAGGAAGTCGGTTTAGAAGTAAATGCAGAGAAAACCAAGTATATGTTGCTGTCTCATCGCCAGAATTCAGGGCAAAATCGTGACATAAAGATAACTAGCAGATGCTTTGAAAATGTGGCACAGTTCAAATTTTTGGAAACAACAGTAACAAATCAAAATTTGATCCAGGAGGAAATTAAGAGGAGATCGAATTCAGGCAATACTTGCTATGATGCAGCCCAGAACCTTTTGTCTTTTAATTTGCTGTCTATAAATGTAAAAATTAGAATAACAGAACTATAATTTTGCTTGTGGCTCTGTATGGGCATGAAACTTGGTCTCTGACTTTAAGGGATGTATATGGAGTGAGGATTTTTGAGAACAGGGTGCTGAGGAGAATATTTTGACCAAAGAGGGATGGAATGGTAGGAGATTGGGGTAACTGCATAATAAGGAGCTTCATAACTTTTACGCTTCGCCAAGTATAATTATAATGATCAAGTCAAGGGGACAAGATGGGCAGGGCATGTAGGCCAAATGGGGAGAAGTGAAATGCATATAGGATATTGGTGGGAAAGCCAGAAGCAAAGAGACCACTAGGCTGACTAAAATGAAGGTGGGTGTATAATATTACAATGTATCTTAGAGACAGATGGACTGAACTAATCTGGCTCAGGATAAAGACCATTGGAGCGCTCTTGTAAACACTAATGAACCTTCGGGTTCCATAAAATACTGGGAAGTTCTTGAGTAGTTACACAACTGGCAGCTTCCCAAGGAGAGCTTGGCTTCATGAAGTTAGGTTATTTTATAATTTTCCATAGCTGGACAAAATGGTTTCCAGGGTCCAAAGAAGGCTTTTCATATTTTATGAGGCATTCCTGAACTGTAATATTTGGAATGATTACACAAGCATGTAGATTTTATGAAATTACAGGTGCATTGCTAGCACAGAGTTTGACATAAAATTAGAAGTGACCTTGAGAGAGAAGTGTCCTATCCCTTACACCAGTCCATTTGTTATAATTGTGACCTGTCACTGCACAAATCTGAAACCAAAGGAATCAGTTCTGCTCTCTGGGTTAGTGGTCAGAGTTTCTGGCTGTAGATACAGAGATCTGAGTTCACTTCCTGGCGCTACCAGATTTTCTGAGAAGTAATGGGTCTGGAAGGGGATCCACTCAGTCTCATGAGGATAATTGAGGAGCTATTTCAAGGAAATAGAGACTCCAGTCTAGAAAACCGAAAATAACGGTCATGGGGATTCATTGTGCTGACCATGTGACACCCTCTATCCGCTATACTTGGTACTATCTTCACTGACAAGCAGCGGTCGCTCAGTGGGTATAGTTCTCTTGTGGACTAAAACCATGGAGTTTTTTTTTTAAGTTATATCACTAACTGAGTGTATCTGCATTCTGTGTTCTGTACTATTGACACGTGTTATTTATGTGAGGTTTACTCTCATGGTGGTGACTATGAAGCCTATTTCCATTTGGAGTGTGATAACAGGGCCCAGATTTTTATGACATCATCTTTTTTTCCTTGTATCCTATGCGATGCTCTTAAATATATAAATCTCGGATATGAGCTGCTGGTTACAGAAATATAAATTTTATAGGTAATTTTTTTTACATTTTTAGTTTTAAGGTAATTTTTTCATTTGAGGGGTAATTTTTTTAGCAAATTTTTGGACTTTTAAGGGTATTTCTTGTCATTTTTGGCCATTTTAGGGATTTTTTCTTCATATGTTTTCTTCAATCTGAATAATATGGAAGTGAAGTGTTCTTTCCCTTTCTCCTTTAGGTCAGTTTTCTGGATTTTTTCAGTCATTTTATAGGTCATTTTTTAAATATTTTCAGGTCATCAAAATCCGGCCCCTAGTGATAACTATGTTTTATGGCTGACACATACTGACATTTTAGAAGAGCCTGCTGCTGCATCTTCAGGGCAGAAGCGTTATTTTCCCCCCTCCTGGTGCTCTTAGGAAATAGCCCCATTAATTGTCTAATATTCTTTACTCTGCCCTTGTACCAGTTCTTCAGTCAGAGCCTTGGCCAAGGTCCATGTTTTTCTTGTATCTATATCAACTCAACATACTCTTCTACCCTGAAGATGGATGCATCAGGTTTCTTCAAAATGTCAGCGATTTTCTACAAGATTATGCCATGACCACCTAAAGGATCTCAATCTTCATGTCATTTATGAATTACAGAATGGAACATGTCGCAGTGCACTGGGGAGAAATGCCTGAGTCACAGAATATTGGTGCAGACACAATACCAGTGGAACTCAGAAACTTGCTCATTCTCAAGGCTATGAAACCTGACCCATTTAAGCTTCATCAGCCATGTAAGCAAGAGGACAGCTTGTTTGAGTAAGTAGAGAATATTTTTTCTCTTTTTTTGTAGAATAAAATACAATTTATACACATTTTATAAATCTTCATGGAACAAAAAAGTGAAGTGTCCCTGTAACACGCCATGAAGACCCATAGGGTTGTGAGGTGTTGAGGGTCCCACACTATCTAGACAGTTGGCTCAAAGATGGCGGTAAGGTTGTCAGCCTTATGCGCTGGCCGCACTTTACTCCCCAGGAAAATTATTTAATTAATTCCTGGTACTCATTTCTGTTAGAGGCTGAGTAAACCCCAGGGCCTAGTGCTGCTGGAAGGATTAGGTCAACTGAAAAAAATCCAGTGACCTCATTGGGACTTGAACCCCTGACCTTCCGGCTTGTAGCATAGCCTCTCCACCAACTACGCTACCGCGTGCCCCTTCTTCAAACCTGAGTGCAACTCTGACATGGTCATGTTTGAGCAAACTTGTTCATTGAATTGTATGCGAAATGAAGTTGCTTTTCAGCATATCGTCTTACTGGAATGTATTCATACGTTTTGAATCTCTGATGTTAAATGTTCTTCTTTATCAGGGTTCCACAGGAGTGCACCTCAATGGACAGCACTGTGTTACATACAGTTCAGTTGTTACAGCACTGTAAAACATTACAAAGTTTGATCAGACTGGCAGAACAGAGTGTAAGTTTTTTTATAATTTTAAGATATTTTGTTGATTGCAGAGTGTTAAGCAATGGATTTTCAAACTTCATAATTGCGTATGATATTCAATAACTCACAGAAAATTTTTTGAAAATTGTTACTAATTTCAAATATTTGGGAACAAAAATACATCATCAAAATTTCATTCATGAAAAAATTAAGATGAGATTAATTCAGGAAATTCTTTGCCACATTTTAGTTTGGAATCGTTTGAGTTCCCATCTGTTGTCTAAAAATGTACAGAAGTATAGTTTTATTTTTTTTTATGGGTGTGAAACTTGGTTTCTTACTCTCAAGTAAGAATGCAGATTGAGGGTGTCTGAGAACAGGGTGCGAAGAATATTTGAAGCTGAGAGAGAGGAAGTAACATGAGGATGGAGAAAACTGCATAATGAAATTTGTGATCTCTGCCAGATATTACTGGGACAAAAAAAGTAACGAAGGGCAAGATGAGTGGGGATCATGTAGCAGGTTTGGAAGATAGGTGAAATTTACAAAATATAGTCAAGAAATCTAAAGATAAGGGACCATGTAGAAGCCTTTGGTATAGATGGGAGATAAGTTTAATATGTATGTTAACGAAATAAGGTGTGAGATGTGGATTAGAGTCATCTGCTCAGGATCCTGTGGTATGGACTCTTGCAGACATGATAATAAACCTTTGGGATCTGTAAAAGATTTGGAATTTCTTAACCCTCTGATCATCTTCCAGCCTTTCAATAATGTCTCTGTGGAGTCCATTGAGGCTTAATAGGCCTACTTCCCCACAGTGCTGAATATTAATGTGCATGACACGAGGTTCTTATATCAGTAACTATGAAAATTAATGTTTTCTGGGATGAGACATCGCGTAGTCTGGTAGATCATTACCAGTATTTCAGAGCAATGTACTGTCTTCGCCTTCAAGGTAGAAAAGTAGTAGAAGTTACTAATCTACCCTGAAGATGGAGCCAGTGCATTCCTCTGCATCATATAAGAAGATCTACCACACTACATGACTTCACATTCCAGAAGTTGTTTGTGATATTTTTATTGACTTTGATAGCCATTTGTTGTTGGATGAAAATCTTGTAGTGAAAGAATCAGAATTTATTCTATAACTAGCTGTGCCCGGCCACACCTTGCTGTGGCTCAGTCTGCCCGTTCTTCCCCAGTTTGATTTGCAATTACTCGACACATTGCTTCCTCTCCGCGAGTACGACGACCCAAGTTTGATCTTCTGCGAGGCATTATTTGAATGAACTAAAGCAGATCGATTGCACTGATGAAGAAAAAAATGCTAGCAATGGGCCACTGTTATTGTGTTTCAATGGAAGTATACGCTGTTCTAGCGTCACTGTTAAAACGACTGCTGGATTTCGAAGCGATCGGTGAAGAACTTTCGGAGATCTTCGATAAGAGAAAACGAACATTTACATTTTTATTTAAAACTCTTCGGAGCTGGACTATTATAACCTGGTTTTGGACGCAATAGAGGGCACAATCTATTGTTAGCAACGGCCCACTGTTATTGCGTTTCCATGGTTCTTCGATAAGAGAAAACGAACATTTACATTTTTATTTATATAAGATAGATAGACAGATGAAAACGACAAAGCCCAATTCCAAGGCAGTGTCACACGAAAAATTAAATCAAAATGAAAATAAATCGAAACTGTTTATATTCGGCATTGGCTATCCCAAGACTAACTCCTTCGGCGCTTACCTCCAGGCTCTCTTCCGTATCCCTTGGCATCTGCCCCGAGACTGACTGCTTCTTGTCCAAGGTGGGCTATTTATACCTCGGCAGATGCTGTGATTTCACTCGGAATCTCGGAATACTTGTGACCTCGTGATACTCGAGACACTCGTGATACTGAACAGTCGCCGGAGCTAAACTCTCTTATAACAGTCGCCGGAGCTAAACTCTCTTATACATATAGCCAGCGCTCGGACGCGATAGGGAATACCTTATTGAAGAATTAGTTTCATCTGTTGCTTAGGAAATGCTAGCAACGGCAAACTGTTATTGCGTTCCCATGGAAGTATACGCTAACTCTTCTAGCGTTACAATTGAAATGACTGCTGGATTCGGAACATGTGGCAGGTTTTTACCAGTTTTTACTTGTCATGGGTGTGACATCTACATAATAGGCACACAAAAACACGCGCGTGTTCGAATGCAATGTTGTGTCAAAATTTTGAAGTGATCGGTGAAGAAGTTTCGGAGATCTTCGGTAAGACTCAAACGAACATTTACATTTTTATTCTATAATTTAGACCAAAAGTTTATGTTAGATTTTCATATAGGACCAAGTAATGTGACATATTGAATGTTTTTGGTGCCTCATATATTGCTCCTGTTTTCTTAAATACAGAATGAAAGTGACTCTGAAGTACCAAAACCTCTTCCTCCAGCTCCCCCAGTTCCAGAGAAGCCTGAAAGAATTCAGAGTTATGAATATAACTTCCCCTTAAGGTATATGGAAAAGAAGTTTAGGTAAGAAGAAGGTAGGAATGTTATGTTGTCACAAAAAGAAATTTATATATCTGTAGGAAAGAGGGAGTTGCATGTTACAAATTTTCTTTCAGCACATTCTCTGAAGGGCAAGGATCACCACCTCCAAGACTGAGTTCCAACTCTGCAAAGAAGATCCTACGAAAATCAGTTGCAACATTATTCGCTCATATAGGATATGATAGTAAGTTGATTCAGTTCGTGAGATTTTTTAGTTCTCACAACAGTAATTGTGAAGGCTGCTGCCTCAGAAATTTGGAAAAAATGTGTGGAAGGGTTAATGAGATACATGGGGAAATTCCATTTACAGCCATATATAAAGTGGGCTTTATTGTGGATCAGTATGTCAGAAAATTGGAAATGTGCAACAACTTTGAACTTTGATGGAAATCTTCCATGTTGAATTTTAACAAAGTGTGTGAACTGGTCTGTGAAATGCATGGAAAAATTCATTTATTGCCTCACATAAACCAGGCAATGTTATGAATAAACATGACTGAAATTTGGAATTTACATGATGACTTTTAGTGAAAGTCTCCCATATCATATTTTAAGACAGTCTGCTAGTACTGTAGGCATTGTTACTAGGTCACAGATAGATGGAATCAGACATGACCTCCACATATAGCATTTTTTTAACATGTGAAGAATGCATATTGTGTGAAAAATAAAAATAAATGTGTAAGTTTTAAGCTGTATTTTTTATGTTGACAGATGCCTCTCAGTGTGTTTTAGACACCATGACAGATGTGACTGAGGAATACATCCAAAAATTTACTCATCTTCTTAGGGTTGCAGTGGATCAGGAGAGTGTATCTGGTTCTGCAGGGTTTCCGGTATGTAAGACAAGCATGTGAGTTGGGGTCTGCTAATGTTTGCATTTCTGTATTCCATATTAGTCCATTGGCATTCCCTTTGTTCAATGACACAAGGCTTGTGGATGACTGGCCTGGTCTTCCTGTTCGGTGACGGCACTTCAGTGGCTGGCCTATGTTGTTGCAAGGGAGGGCTGATTTTAATATTTCGCTAAAAAGACCTTTAGTAATGCAGTGGCTTCATGTTTCTGGGCATTTTCCAGTGCCATTTACTGTTAAATCTCTACCTCAGTCTTTTAAGTGCCATTTCTTTCAGCTAAAATATTTATAGAGATGTAATATTTATCCGAGTATAAGTAGAACTGAATATAATTTCTTAAAATCAGAAGCAGTGAGATGACAGAGAAGTTTCTAATAGAAAATAATATCACTAAATTATAGAATACTTCTTAACACCATCCATTGTGATTCAGTTTGTAGATATATGTTGCCTTTATGTGTTTCAGTCAGTTTACCATCTTCAGAAGGCATAAGATCAATATGTTCAGGAACTGCTATTAAAAAGATCATAATAAATATATATGTATTATGAACTTTGTAATAGTAGTTCCCGAACATGTTGATTTTAGGCCTTTTAAAGATGGTCAGCTGACCAAAACATGTAAAGGTAATATTTACAAATTGAATCATACTGGACGGTGTTAACACTTATTCTGTAAATTAGTGTACTAGTGTGACAGACCAGAATGAATAGATTTAAAAATAATATCACTGTTTAATTATCATAAAAGCCAATTTGTAGGTGCTTAATTAACTTCAGTGTTGCAGTTTTTATATACTTCCATAATATTACAGATATGCAGATAACATCATTTATGTAGAAAACTGTGCGTTACACAGCTTTTACCATTTCTATTTTGTATTTATCGATTTTCTTGTCTTTAATTTGTATTTGGTTTAATGTAGTGTTTAGAATGTGATATTAATGTTCCATGTTCTTATAGGATGCCATGGAACGTGTATTTTATGAGATGGGGGTAGGAAGTGTAAGAAACCTACATGTGTTTTATCAGATGAGAGTGCTGAAATATCATGAGCGGATGTTACGGGAATGTAACAGGCTACATGATGAATATGCTAGTCTTGCATTGCCAGCTCTGAGGCCTGCCAATGATTGCCAGATTATCAGGTATACTTCTTAGAGATTTTAGCCTTTGTCACCTTCACATACTTGTATTATATAATCAGTTCCGATTATTTTCTGTAGGTTATCTGGTTTGCATGTTTTCCATATGTTATTTTTTATTCACTTGTTCTCTATAATCACATTTTTATACTGCCACTTGTCAAACAATCCAATGAGCAAATTCCAAATTAAAATTGAGCAATTTATATGCCTTGTAATTGAGTACTGGAGCCTGAAGATGCCACTGTGGCGATGAAACATGTTGCCTTTGGCCCTAACTGGATAAGCTGGATGGTCCACAGAGCCAGTCTGGAGAATAGTAAATATCTGATGTCTGTAGAGAACTGAAACCCTGATTCCTTACTCACCCCTCCAGCTTAGCCACTATGTGTACTGAGCTATCAAGCAAGTTCTTGTCCTTTCTCAGATGTGGATCCAGTGAGACTGTGAATGAAGAAGATGTTCCAGAGATTCATTTCCCAGCATTAGGTGATGGTTACTCAGCAGATGAATTACAGCCGTCACTTGAACCAGGCTTCCAGATGTTGCATAGCTTGGAGCAAGATGAACAGTAAGTATAACAACATCCATTTCATCCCTTCCTTTCCTTTGAAATTTCAGTAATGATGTACCAACCTACATGGTGTCACATGCCAGATGACAGCTGTCGTCAACATATTTAAGCTCTGTACCCAGTGTATTTGTACAGCTGGGAATACGTTGGTTGCAGATTACAAAATCTTGAACCAGAAGAGGAAATAAATGTCAGTGATTCACCTGCTCAGCAAGTGATTCTCCAGAGAGTATCATCTGATTCCTGTCAGCAAGTCACATCGGCCGGATGCTCAAACAAGAACAGAAAGAAGAAGAAGGTAACTTCCATTTAAAATTATATTTCTTTCATTACTTGGGAAATGTGACTTGCATTGTTCAGTCCATTCATCTGGTCTGCATATTATGATTCTGAAAGTGGTAAACAGATTTTGCTGAAATTTCATATTGGAAGACTACACTAAAAATTGTCAAGGTTTAGCTTGGAAGATTACGAGTACTGTGGTCTGGGATGTTAGGCCATGCAGTCTGGCAGATCATTACCGATGTTTTTGAGGACATTATTTGGAAACCATCAGTACTATGCAGCATGACATTCCAGAAGGTAGTAATCTTCATAGTTACTGCTGTGAGAACTTCACAAATTGCAAGTCTTCCAAAGTATCAAAATTCTTTCATTTCTGACTCTGGGTTTTCCTTCTGTAATTGTTAAAAGTTCTGCTCTTAGCCCACTGATACTTCGCTTGGTCCGTGTCCATGATTATGCACCCTATATTAATGTGTTCATGTAATAACTCTGGAAAATATACGTAGGCGAGTCAATGAAAACCATAAATATTTTTTTGATTATTATTTATTGTGCACAAGTAGTACAAAGCTGTATCACTTTTCAACATAATCTCCCCCACGCTCAATGCAAGTCCTCCAGCGCTTACAAAGTGCATGATTTCCTTTAGAAAAAAATTCTTTCGGTAGTCCGCACAACCACTCATGCACCGCGTGGCGTACCTCTCCATCAGAATGGAATGTCTTTCCTCCCATTGCTTCTTTGAGTGGTCCAAACATATGGAAATCACTTGGGGCAAGGTCTGGTGAGCATGCCAGATGAGGAATACACTCAAAATGCAGGTTATTGATTGTCACAACTGTTGTACGGGCAGTATGGAGCCTTGCATTGTCATGTTGCAAAAAGGATACCTGTAGACAGCAATCCACATCGCTTTGATTTGATTGCAGGCTGAAGATGATTTTTTGGGAGATCTGAGTATGATGCACTGGTGACAGTGGTCCCTCTAGGTGTGTAATGCTCCAAGATGATGCCTTTTTCATCCCAAAAGAGAGTCAGCATAACCTTCCCTGCTGACAGTTGTGTTCGAAACTTCTTCGGTTTTGGAGATGAGGAATGGCATCATTCCTTGCTCACTCTCTTCGTTTCCAGTTGGTGGAAGTGAACCCAGGTTTCGTCCCCAGTAACGATTCTTGCAAGGAAGTCATCACCTTCTCGTTCATAGCGCCACAGAAGTTCTTTACAAGCATCAATACATCAGTCTTTCAATTCAGGAGTCAGCTGCTGTGGCACCCATCTTGCAGACACTTTGTGAAACTGGAGCACATTGTGCACAATGTGGTGTGCTGAACCATGACTAATGTTTAAACTTGCTGCAATTTCATTCACTGTCACTCGGCAGTTTTCCCTCACTATGGCTTCAACTGCTTGTCTAGATAATGTGGGACCCTCAACATCTCACAACCCTATGAGCCTTCATGGCCTGTTACAGGGATAGCTTTACTTTTTACTTTTTATGGCTTCAACTGCTGCAGTGTTCTCTGGAGTCACAACTCAATGTGCCTGACCCAGACAAGGAGCATCTTCCACTGAAGTCACACCATTTGCAAACTTCCTACTCCATTCGTACACTTGCTGCTGTGACAAACATGCATCACCATACTGAAACTTCATTCTTTGATAAATTTCAATAGGTTTCACACCTTCACTACACAAAAACCGAATAACAGAACGCTGTTCTTCCCTGGTGCAAGTCTCAAGTGGGGCAGCCATCTTATACTGGTGCTGTGACGGTGTTCGTGCATCTGCACTATGCTGCAACCTACAGGCCCTTCTGCACGCTTACCAACTTACAGGATAATGGCACGAAATTTCGATTTTTTATTACAAATTTAAGGTCTTCATTTGACTCACCCTTGTGTATGTATGCCAGTTTGGAGTAAATATTTTCACTCTTGCTACTTTTTAAATTTTGTATGCTTGTAACTTTTGAGTTCATGCATTACAGTGTATAATATTTGTTTTCTTTTTTGCAGGCTTCTGGCAAACCAAATGAAGTATTCTTAAAATCAAAGGATATTAAGTGAATATTTCTTCTTCTGTCAACATGTGTGGGAACTAATTTAATGTACAAGTTCTGAGGTGATGCATCATAGTTGTTTGTTGCTTCCTTTACAAGTTTGTTTGTTACCAGCTCATGGGATGCAAGTCAGCAAGCAAGTTCCTCTGTCATGAGAATATCACAGGCTGGTGCATGGTCTTACCAAAAGTACCAATCATGTTCAAGAAATTTTCTCAGTAAAACAGATTTTACATGATATTATGGTAGCCATTGGAAGTTTTTCCTACACCAGACATGTTTCAAATCAATATAACGAATCTGAGAGAAGTGGAATCTTGTTAAGTCTAAATATATCTACTGATGGAGTGGTAAAATGGGACATTAGCCATCATATTGAGTTCCCCCAGACATGGTGCTTTTGCAACTGAAACTATTTCTGTCAGATTTAAGGAAGAAAAGGTTCCTACTCAGTAGGACATGTCAGAGTTGGCCTAAGTCACAGATTGTTCAAAACCTTTGGATGTGTGTCTACAGTGGGAATACTGGTAGATTCTAACAGGTTCTCACGATGGTGTATAACGCTCAGAATTACCATGTTATTGGACTTTATCTATCATCCAGTATTCTAAAAACTAGAGAACACAACATATTGGAAACTGGATTTCTTTTCTTCCTCAGGTGAGGACAGACAGATCCAGTTTCTGAAATGTTGTGTTCTCTAGTTTTTAGAATACTAGATGATGGACAAAGACCAAAAACCCAGGAATTCTGAGGGAATATTTGGACTGTTATGTGAACATAATAACAGGAAAGAAAAATGAGATTTCACAGTGGGCTGTATACCATAGTAATACATGATAATATTAATTTTATGAAGCTGAACCCTTCTTGGAAAGCTGCCTATTGTGCAGCTACTCAAGAACTTCCCAGTATTTTTTGGAACCCGAAGGTTCATTTCTGTGTTTACAAGAGCGCTCCACTGGTCTTTATCCTGAGCCAAATTAGTCCAGTCCATACAACCCCAATCTGTCTCTATAAGATCCATTGTAATATTATCCATCCACCTTCATCTTAGTCAGCCTAGTGGTCTCTTTCCTTCTGGCATTGCCACCAATATCCTATATGCATTTCTCTTCTTCCCCATTTGGGCTTCATGCCCTGCCCATCTCANCCTCCTTGACTTGATCATTCTAATTATACTGGGTGAAGAGTACAAGTTATGAACCTCCTCATTATGCAATTTTCTCCAGTCTCCCATCACTTCATCTCTCTTCGGTCCAAATATTCTTCTCAGCACCCTGTTCTCAAACACCCTTAGTCTATGTTCCTCCCTTAATGTCAGAGACCAAGTTTCACACCCACACAGAACCACAGACAGAATTATAGTTTTATGTTTTTAGACCAGATGAGAATACAAAAGGCTGTGGACTGAATGGTAGCAAGCAATAACCACATTCATTTTCCTCTTAATTTCCTCCTGAATTAAGTTTTGATTTGTTACTCTCATTCCCAAATATTTGAACTGTGCCACATTTTCAAAACATCTGTTAATCTTTCATCATGATTTTGCTCAGCATTCTGGTGATGAGAGCAACATACACTTAGTTTTCTCAGTGTTAATGGTGATACAGAATAATTTAGTAAACATTAAATTATAACAAAATATGTATTTACTCAATACAACTAACACCGAATAAAAGAATATAATTTTATTTAATTGCTGTTCCTGTCTTCACAATAAAGCCTACCTTGAAAATGTAGGCAGAAAGTAGTGATCTGAGAGTACTGGCATCAAAAATTGCAGTGTGCAGCATAACTTCTTCATGACTATGGGTATAAATTTCACATTGTGAAATGGAAAATTGTGCTTGAAATGCCATGCAACTTATCCTCAGCAAGAAGGGCAATGCAATCCCATGTGTTTTCATGTCCTTGGGATACGCATGTGTCATATCGATGGGAGAGTGACATCATGCTTTGGAGCTGTTTTACACATAGTGGCAAAAACGTATCTTCAGCAGGTACAGTAAATTAGGTTTTCAATAATTCCCACATAACATTTCAGAATTCTGAATGCTGTGTTTTATCTTATGAAATTTTTCTGACGCATTACACTCTGCATATATTTAATTCTAGGTACACCACATGAAAAGCTAATTTAATTTGGGTTACTTTTCTGTTTCAACAAACAATTTTTCATACCATACTTTTTTTTATTACTGTTCTTAGTGGAGTCGAGACAATCCACTTGGTACTGTGGCCTATTGTACCAGCCCCAGATGATGGTGATTGTGGAGCCGTTGGTGGAATGATGATTGGTATGGGAAACCAAAGTACTCGGAGAAAACCTGCATTAGTGTCACTTTCTTCGCAACAAATCCCATATGACCTGACCCTGGCCGCTGAAGTGGAAAGCCAGCAGCAAACAGCCTGAGCTATAGCATGGCCTGCCATATATTAACCACATTCTTATGATTTGTGACGTAATAAAAGTTTCTTTGGTTTGGTGGGGAGTGGGAGAGCGCAGGAGGTTCCAGGACTCTGGGACGCTGTCACTATCATACATCCTCCAACATCCTTTGCAACTGCTCTCTGAAGCCAGGTTGAGACTTGTTGCATATCCCCGTATCGTATCAGTGTGGATGGTACCCCGTATCATCCTTCCATTGCAAAATGTTTATACAGTGATACACAACAGGTTGTTCGCTCACTTGGCGGTCTTTTCCCGTCGCATCAAAGGGATGACACACGTTGCAGTGCGCATTGCTTATCAGCTCTGCACAAAGGACAGTTGGAGTGTATAGTCATCACCACTATGCGTTCATCTATTTTTGATTGTGTTTATACTCTGAATGGAGTGATTTAATCGATGAATATAAGAAGAGGGACGTGTTTTGGAACCCCCAAAACACAGAACATTTCAATAAAATAAAGAAGCAGGTCACATGGGAGGAGATGGGAAAGGAACTGAACAGATAAGTTGAGGAATGTAAAAGAAAATGTAGAGAGGATGAAGATGAAGAAACAGATGGGAACGACAAAAGGTACTTCATAAATGAAATAAAATGTTAATTAAATAGTGAATAACGCTTTCATTACTCATTCTTATCATTTCAAATTATTATTTTCATGGTTCTTAGGAGCAGATGAAGTCTATAAAAGTTCCTGGTTTGCATTTGAAAGCCTGCGATTCATCTGGGGTAAGAATAAATCACGACCAACATTGTCGACGTTAACTGCTTGTCTATCATTCTTGTGAAATTTTTGTATATCCAACTGACCCACTGGAAATTTAAGTCCGCCAAAAGATGGGACCCATTGTATACTTCCCTACTGCGATAGATCGGCGATATCCACAAACTTCGCGATCGTCGTGATTCCTTTCTTCTTTCCTTTATAGCATAGTGACGATAGACTTACGCGGGCCGCTGCTACCTTCAGCTTAGGTGTAGTCATTGGTGATTGAAATCTGCCTCGAAAGCCTCGAAACTGAGATTCAGATTGTCGCGTTTGGTCGCGTTGCATCGGTTGATAGGCAACGGGTATACGCAATAAGCCTGTCCCTGTCTTGGCATCGCCATTTAAGCCACGGATCTAATCGCGTAAGCACCTAAGCAATTTACCGTAAATTACCCAGTGATTTGGCCAAGTCGCTGATCACGTGCATTCTAACGTATCCTGTTCCGGCCGTTCCTGACAACAAGTCAAAAATGGCGGACAATTGTCCTAGTAAAGGTGATATGCAGCTGGTTTTCAAACGATTGCAGTCAGTTAATACAAATAAGGTTCGCATTCTTATAAAATTATATCATTTCCAATTGTGATAATTTGTTTTTACTAATAGGATTTGGTTAAGAAGTATTTAGTTTGACGTAGGATTAACATGTGACGAAGGCATGTTTTAGTTAATTGTGCATAGCTTGCGTGTTCCTGATTTGAAATTAATATTTAAACATTGTGAATTTTTGAGGGAAGACTGACCAGTAAGTATAGTGGTCCAAAGGTATATTGATGCGTGGAATAGAGGTATCATCACCATCTCTGTGTTACGGAATCGAGACTACGTAGTAATTTCCCATTTTCAGGTGTGCTTTGATTGTAATGCCAAGAATCCTACATGGGCCAGTGTCACATATGGCGTTTTCATATGTATTGACTGCTCTGCTGTACACAGAAGTTTAGGTGTCCACGTCACATTTGTTCGCTCTACTCAGCTGGACACAAATTGGACATGGCTTCAGCTGCGACAGATGCAGCTTGGAGGAAATGCAAATGCGGTGAGTAAAGTCATTTCTGTAATATAGTTTTGGAATTATGTTCGTTTGAAACAACAGAAGGCCTAGCATATTGTAACGTGCTATCTTACAGACATCACTGTGCAAAGTTAACAGCTAACAGTGAGTTTCCAAGGTTACAACAAATACATGGAGAGTTCCCACAGTGACAAACACAAGTCACAGTGGGCTGTTGCCTGGGACAACGAACGCGTTTCCTAGGAGTTGAAAGGAAACAATTTGTTCAAAGTGTTGAATGACAACAGAAGGTTCATTGCATAGCAACAGCCGAGGTTATAAAAGCCTGTGTGGAGGCGGGGTCGAATACCTCCACCGTGACCCTGCGAGTCGTAAGAGGCGAGGAAAAGGGAAGTCTCAAATCTTAGACAGTAAAATATGGTCGCGAGTCTCAAGGGACTTGGACCCGAGAAAGACTGCGCTGGCAAGGGCCAGCAGCATATAGAAGACAGACCCGTCCTCTCGTCAGAGAGGGCGCCCCACAAAAGTGAGACCGTAAATGTCAAACAGTAATAAATATCATTGGGGCTCAACACCAAGACGTACTGACTGACTGACCGTCAGTCGCAGTGTGACTTCGACTTCGACTTTGGTTGAATACCTCCACCATGACCCTGCGAGTCGTAGGAGGTGACAAAATGGGAAGTCTCTTATATGAGACAGTAAAATATGGTCGCGAGTCCCAAGGGACTCAGACCTGAGATAGACTGCACTGGCAACGGCCAGCGGCATATACAAAAGGCAGACCCGTCATCTCATGAGAGAGGGCGCCCCACAAAAACAAGACTGTAAATGCCAAACAGAAGTAAATAATCTGGGGCTCGACACCAAGACTTACTGACTGTCAGTCGCAGTGTGACTTGGACTTCGGACCAGTTAGTTCTTAGGGTAGCTCCAAGTATAGCAGAAGCCAGCTCACATTTGAGAAAGGGAATAGAAGTCTTCACCGAGATAGTGGTGCAAGAAGTAATTATAACAGTGAAGTAGAGGATAATAATTGTACTTGAGTGTGTAAACGCTTGTGTTCAATAAATATTCACTGAATGCGAGACCTACGTGGAAGTTATTTGTCCCATAACATGGGCAACATGCTACAATATATTAAGTCACCACTATGGACACCTCAAATCTAACATACCTTTGTAATATTTATCTTATTTTAGTTAACCTTCTTCCGACAACACAATTGCACAGTAGCTGATTCCCAGCAGAAGTACACATCTCGTGCTGCTCAGCTCTACAGAGAGAAACTGCGTCAAATGGCCATTCAAGCAATGAGGCTTCATGGGACTAAGGTAGAAATTGTGTTTTTTTAATTCGCATAGTGGGGGGTGGAGTCCAGTTGGGTCCACTTAGCACCGTGGCCACTGATTGGCCTATTGTACCTGCTCCGGCTAATTATGATGATGGAGAATTTGGTGGAATGAAGATTGGCAGGGGAAACCGAAGTACTCTGAGAAGACCTATCCCAGCGCCACTTTGTCCAACACAAATCCCACTTGACCAGACCCAGGTTTGAACCCGGGCCGCCACGGTGGGAAGCCAGCGACTAATCGCTTGAGCTATGGTGTGCCCTTAGAAATTGTGTTAGTATTGGTGTTAAGAGGTTTTAATCTGGCAGGTTGAAAGCTGTGTATGCTTTTGAAGTCTTGTAGATTATTGCTAATGTTTTGGAGGAACCCCTTGACTCCATCTCCGTGGTATCCAGCTACATGGCATTACATCCAAGAAGACAGTAAGCTTCATAAATTGTTCATATGTTATCATCTTGTAGTTTGCAGGTTAACTGATCATATTCAGAGGACAAGAGTACATTTTTGCAAAAGAAATAACAATTTCTTTGTACTGTCTTTATAGAGTACATCATGTTGTGCAATCAAACAAATGTAATTGCCATGTTCCATCTATGCAACCCTTTAAGAATGTATACCCATTCAACTCTTTATTAAAAATCGCAACATGTTTCAACCATCCTACTGGTCATCAGCAGGTGATATAATACTTACAGTCAAATGGGTATAGATTCATAAGAGTTGCATGGACGGACCATGGCAATTAGATTAGATTCTTTGTACCAGATGAAGCAGATAGGTTATTATTAGAAAGGAGTCTATTCTTCCAACTTTATTTCTTTGTTTATTGGAACAGCTTGACTTCGGGTCACATCATGAGGCTACCATAGTTTCTCCTTCTCAGAATACATCATCACTTTCTGTGGTGAGCATTGTCACAAAGTTTCATAAATGAGCAGACAAGTATTTTATATATTGATACTACTGCCCGTACATGCAGCTTGTTTACTTACACATTGCACGTTGTTTTTGGACTGTTTTTACATTTATTTTGCGATTTTGTTTTATATTAGCTTATTAACAGCATGTACCAGAATTGTGCTTCACATTAATCACGTTTAGAAGTAACTATGGAGCTGAGAGCCCTTAATTATGGTATTCACAAGAACCTGTCCCTCAGATCCACGTCCTGAGCCAAATAAAAGCAGTCTGTGCATTTTCACCATATATCTTTTAAGATCCATTTAAATATAATGCCTCTCATCCAGACCTATGCATGCTACATGCCTCACTCATTCCATTTTGCTTGATTTAATCATTCTCATTACATACAGAGAAACTGCAAGTTTGTTAGCGGGGGAAAGAATTTAAATGATTTACCTGTTCAGAAAATATTGCAGCTAAATAACTCATAACTGAAGAGTACTTGCCTTGAGTGCTTACTAGCAGTTCCATGTTCCATGTGTTGGTAGCGTATGCTGTGAAACTGTGGATTCAAGGACGTTACACTTATAAATCAAAGCTCTTGCTTATACACATAAAGAACATTGTTTTATGAAATTTGAGATTCTCATGACAGTGAATATTAAGGATAATGACCTTATGGGGATCTGATGTGTTGGAGTTTGGTAGATGGTTACCAATCTGGTACCTCCATCTTAAGGGTAGAACTGCCAGGAACATCAATAACCATTACCAGACTACATGGTGTCACATCCCAGAAGGCTGTAATCATAATATTACAGTTTTTGGAAATGTAAGTGTTTGGATACTATCAGAAGTGTGTTTCACATTGTTATTTTTATTAGGTTTGATTACATACTGAAGAAAGCTGTCTTCAGGGACGTGGCACTGTGTAGATATTGTGTTAACCGACGTTTTGGAGGGACGTATCGTCTCCATCTTCATGGTAGAAGAAAAAAGAAGAAAATCCGCAAGCGAAGAACCGGTGTGAGGTGTGCTGGTTCTTCGCTTGCGGATTTTCTTTTTTCTTCTACCCTGAGGATGGAGGCGATACATTCCTCCCAAACGTCAGTTAACACAATATCTACACAGTGCCACATCCCAGAAGACTGCTTTCTTCATAGTCACTGCCGTGAAAATCTCAAATCTTACATGATTACATACTGTCCAATATAACTACATACGAGGGGCAACCCAAGAAAAAACGGAATTTGTTTATAAAAAATTCTGTATTTATTTTTACATAACAAAACCCCCTTCAAGGTACTCTCCATTTGATTCAATCACTTGTCCAAACGTTTTTTCCATTGATCAAAACATTTTTTAAATTCATCGCTGGTGATGCCTTTTAGTGCTTCCATCATTTTTTCTTTACATTTTAAACATCAGCAAAACGTTTTCCCTTGAGATCTCTTTTCGTCTGAGGAAATAAAAAAAGTCGCATGGGCAAGATTGGCTGAGTACAGGGTGTGAGGCAAGGGTGTCATGCCATTTTTTGGTCAAAAATCGCTGCACACAATGCTGTGTGGGCAGGCATGTTGTCATGATGAAAGAACCGTTCACCTGTTTGCCACAAATCAGGACATTTTCTCCTTAAACCAGTGGTTCTCAAACTTTTTACCTGTGAGCGCCCCCCCGACAAGAGAAAATACTCTCAGGCCTCAGCCTGTTTTTTTTATCAAAATAGAAGTCATTGCATGTTTGACATTTTATTCGGTTTATTTTGTGTTTTTCTACATACTATTTAGCAGTTTTTTTTACTCAAAATTAAAGTATCACAATATTATGCCTACAATAAAAATTAGTTTTAACACCTGCAATTAACGAAAATACGTATTGAAATGAAACAGTATTTAACTAACAAGTATTTAATTATTTTTTTCTGCAAAGAAAATCAAACATTTAAATGTCAAAGTTCAGTGTGATGGATGGGCCTGCTTTTGAGAACAAAGTTTATCAAAACGTGGTGTAATACTAGAAATGGCCACTCTAAATTCTTTAGCAATATTTAGCCTTGAGAGATACTTTGACTTTGTAGCTGCCAAAGCAGAAAAGCCTGTCTCGCATAAGTAAGTTGTTGCCAAAGGAATCAGGATCTTCATTGCTTTTTGGCTCAAAGTTGGGAATTCCTTGCCAATATGTATCCAGAACTCCAACAAAGACAATTCCTTAAATTTACTTTTTAATGAAGTATCACTAGTGAGATCGATTAGTTCTTGCTCATTTACATTCAGAGATGATGGCCCAGGAGCATTTTCGAATGGATTTTTAGTCAAATTAAATTCATCAAAATCATTGCAAAAGTATTTCTTGAAATGAACTTTCAACATTATGAGATGATCAAGTAGGCAGCTTTTTATGTCCATTGGAAGCACTGGATTATCAGTGTCTTGTACCATTGACACCAGAGTAGGGAACATGTCTAGTGTGTCACATTCCATACTGTTTCTCCAGAGCTCTAATTTTCTCGTGAATGCCTTCACTTTGCCATTCCAAGAAAGTCCAGTTGCCTCATTCCCATGAAGTGAAGTGTTGAGGATATTTAGTTTCTCAGATATATCTGAGGTAAGCCATTTTCAATAAAAAATCCTTGTTGCTGAAACTGCCAGTGAGTGATTTTCCCCATTTAAAAAACAGAACACCTCATGCCTCAGCTCAAACATTCTCTTTAATACCTTGCCTCTTGAAAGCCATCGAGCAGTGTGTTCGACACCCATTTCCTCATACAGCATTTTAAAAAGTCTAGACTTCAAAGGATTTTTCTTCATAACATTGACGGTTTTTACAGCCATCTGCAGCGCTTAATGAAAGGGTGGGCTGAGTTCTTTAGCTGCCAGAGCCTCCCGATGTATCATACAGTGAGTCCATACTGTTTCGGGAGCAATAGCTTTAATTTTTGCTTGTAATCCAGCACGGACTCCAGACATTGAATGAGCTGCATCTGTACATATGCCAGTGCACTTATCCAATGATATCCCATTTTCATTAAAGAAAGCATTAATCATGTCGAAAAGGCTTTGAGCTGTTGCTGTTTTCAAGATAGGCTCACAGAAAAACAATTCCTCGCATATTACACTCATCAACAAAACGAACGTACACAGTCAAATGAGCATTTTTATGAATATCAGTCGCTTCAACCATTTGAAGTGCAAAGCACTTGTTACGCAACTTCTCAATTAAATGCTGACGTAGATCATCAGAAATGTCTGAAATTCTTCTACAAACTGTGTCATTAGAGAGGGGGATATTTTTCAATTGTTGAGCAGAAGAGTCGCCCAATATTGTTGATACTATGTCAATCGCTGCTGGTAAAATCAGTGTTTCTGCAATTGTGTGTGGTTTCTTGCATTTATCAATTCTATGAGAAACCTGGTAAGAGGCTAAAAGGGCCTTAGAAGTCACATTTGTTATTTTAGCAAATTTCTGTTGGGTGGACTTTAAACCACTAAGCTTTCTAACAAAAAAAATATTTTGGTTTGTTTGTAAACTTCGAATATTTGGTTTCAAGATGTCTCTTTAATTTATCAGGTTTCATACTATCTGAAGCTAAAAGACTTGGACAGACATTGTGGACGTTCTTCGTCATTGATCACAGTTTACGTAAAGCCTAGTGATGAATAGTTCTCATCATACCTTCTCGTTTTCACACTCCAAGTAGCTTCTTTCCCACCACTAGCTGAAGGAGCACTGGTGTCTTCATTTCCATCACTAATCAGGAAACGCTTCATGATCAATTGTTCATAATCAAGTCAACTTCGAGAGGTAAACAAATCAGCACAACTGCACTGAAACGTTGAATGCATAAGAACACATCAAACAGGCATACCCATCGATCACCGTTGAGTCTGGCGACAAACTGCCTGCTCCTTGCCCAGCAGGCACCAGTGAGATGACACAAGTTGCTGCTTTCAGCTGCATGTGTACAGTGCTGCCTGGAAGAGGATGCGGCTGCTGCCGAACTATCAGCACTGTCTCTGGCATACGCGTTTTATAATTTCCAGTAAAGAGAATAATTATTAGTTATTTTGAAATTCATGATAATTTGCCTGTACTCATCAAAAGCTTTTCTATGTGTATTTTTATTCTTTGTCACTTTTCTAATTGATAGGGTCAGTTTTAATTTTTATCTGTAGGAAAGTATGCTGCACCCCCCTTTCAAGTCCTTCACGCCCCCCTGGGGGTTGCGCCCTACAGTTTGAGAACCACTGCCCTAAATGGTTATGCAACCTTTTCAAAGCTTCCAAATAATAATTCTGGCAATCTTCCAGAATGATTTGATAAGTTTTTGTCATGTTTTCATCAGTTCGGGCAGTCAAAGGACATCCACTTCGAGGTTGATCATCAGTTGACATTTTGTCACATTTGAAACAGGAGAACCATTTGTAAATTTGTGTTTTACTCATAGCGGCTTCCTTGTATGCTGTTTGTAGCATAACAACCATTTCTGCTGCTGTTTTCCCCAAAAGGAAACAAAATGTCACAGCAGCACGTTTGTGTGAATCAGCCATTAAAAAATAGACAAATTATAAAAAAGTCACTTAAAAAATTCACCAAACACTAACATAGACTTCTCTGATGACACCAGCCAGCATACTGATTCAGGAAGGTGCTGCAAGCAACCAGCTAGTGGCGGAAGCCTGTACTACTAGCACCCTGCCTTCTAGAAACAAATTCTGTTTTTTTTGGGCCCCCCTTTGTAGTTTGAGAAAGATTCTAAAATTAGTCTATCACCTCGGTTCATCAGAGTTAAGGCAGATGTTGAAGTATGTTGTGCCACATTATCATGTACTGTTGCTGCATTCATTTTAGCTGAAATTTATATCTGAGAATCGAAGTTGCTATTTGTGTGTGTCTTATGTATATATTTTTGTGTGTATGCACATGTGAAGTTCAAGAGAGACATCAGTATAATTGTTGCAGAATGTCACAGCAGTATATCTCACTGTTGCTTTGAATGGCAAGTGTTTCTACTTTAAAAAAGTAAGTTACCATGTCACCACAGATAATCAACTCTACAGTTGGAGAAAAATGAGCAGTGTAGGGCATATAGCTTGTCCGCTTTCATATACCCCACAGCTGTTGAAGAAATATTTCAATTCTTGACCAAGTAGTTAACAAAATGCACGTTTTACCCAGAAGTGAGGAGTTTCTCACATTTCTGACCATAAGTATTAATGCCTTCTGGGTTATAATATGATAGTGTGATAGATAATAAGTAGCAGCATTTTGGAGGGACTTTATTCTGTCTCTGTCTTCAGGGTAGCAGAATAAGCCAAGCATTCGTCTTCTTCCGTTTCTCTGTTTCTCTACCAGATCTTCTGTTCCCAGCTACCCTGAAGATGTAGGCAGGCACTGATTTCTGTGAAACATCAATGCTTCTCTGCCAGACTGTATGGCGTCACATTCCTGAAGGCAGTAATCTTGTTTTTTTGAAGAGTTTGCAGTTACACTAACTGGCTGGGAGATTTCTTTCTCCATGGACATATTTTTCTACAATGAGACCATGGGTTGAAGCCCCACATTACTCCCCGCCACATCCTCCTCCAAGATATCTCCTTGTATTCCCCTCCAGTCATCTAATTCAGAGGTTCTCTGAACTATTCAAGTGTGAGCACACCCTAGCAGCACATTGCAAACTCAAGGAACCCTTATCCTTCCATGTTATAAATTATCTGCATTAGAACAGGTTGAAATGAAGTAATTTATTGAAAATGTTTTTATGTCTATACCATGTTCATGAAATGTTTAATACCTGTTAAAATATGTTTTCTTACCTGTCGTTAAATGACAGGAATGGCTGGGTCACCAATATGTAACTAGCATAGACATCTGTGCTGTTTCTAGTCCAAAATATTTGTTATACCATTATTCCAGATAAACGGATTTTATGAAATACTAAAAATATTCAGTACACTATTTTTTCCTTCAAACTTATAATAAGAAAACAAAAATAATCTTGTGGACTGCTGTGGGTCGCTGGACCACATTTTGAGAACCACAGCTCTAGTCGTTGCTTCACAGGAATGTTGGTAGTGATAACGACATTCTAGCCTTTGCTAGCAGCAGGCACTTTGGGCTGGTTTGACATTTGCAAGAGGAGGCTGGAATGAAAGACAGCAGGCAGTAGGCAGAAAGGAGGGAATGTTGAGTGTTGTCATTTCCACCATCAACAGGGCTTCTTTCTGGGGCCTCAGTACAGTCAAGTGTTTGTTATGTTTGATTTGTGATGTGTCATGTAACTTCTTGTCTGGTGTGCCACCTTTGCTGATTTATTTGTTATGTACACCAACTTATTCAGACTGCCCCATTTGCCTTAATTGCTAGTGTGTGTATGTTGAAATTCTTGTGGCTAGCTTCACTTGGACACAGCGCCTGAACACACCGAACCGGAGGAAAAGAAGGAGGAAGATTTCTTCGCAGCAACATTAAATACTGATGGTAGTATTAATTGTACTGAAGAAAATGAAGACCACCTCAAGGTGCAAGCACCAGAGGTATGTTTTGTTGAATTTTGGTAGAAAGACACCATTAATGCAAACCAACATGGTTCATGTAGTTACTATAGGATTCTGACGATGGTGTATAACACACTGATATATTGGGTTTTTGGACTTTATCCATCGTCCTGGTTTTTAAGATAACAAAAACACGACGTTTCGGAAACTGGATCTGTTTCCGTCCTCAGGTGAAGGAAAACACCTATTCAGTTGGGTCCATTAGAAGCTCTTTCTAACGGACCCAACTGAATAGGTGTTTTCCTTCACCTGAGGACGGAAACAGATCCAGTTTCCGAAATGTCGTGTTTTTATTTGTTATCTTAAAAACCAGGACGATGGATAAAGTCCAAAAACCCAATATATCAACATGGTTCATGACTGAAAATGATAAGGTAATGTTAAATACATGGTAGAGGAACATTTTGAGGAAGGTGTTTAGAATGGCTGAAAATCCAAAATGCTTGAGAATGTTCACTGAGTCTCCAATATTGAATTTAAAGAACAGCTTTCTAGTGGTGTAGGCACTGGTAGTAGGTTATAAACAGGTGGACAGAATTAACTTCCATATGTCTCTTTTTTTAAGTTTGTAAAGAACACCTGAAAATGACAAGAGTATTGGAGTTCTACAAGAAAGTTGGGTTTCAGTGAAAGGTTGATGTTATGAAGTACTGGGGTTTTACATGAATTACATTAGTCATTATGAAGTATTGGAGTTTTACATGAATTGCATTTGGGTTTCAGTGAAAGGTTGTCATTATGAAGGACTGGAGTTTTACATGAATTACATTAGTTGGGTTTCAGTGAAAATTTTTCGCAGTACTGAGGGGGTTGAACTAGAGTGTCCATCTCTGTGAGTTTGATAGTCTCGTAAGATCCACGATTCTCTATCCTCATTTTATGAGGCAAGTGAACAGATTGGGCAATTATATGAATACGTGAGAGTCTAGATTCTTACATTGGTGACCATAATGGTTGCTGTTTCCTGGGATGTGTATTATTTAGTATATTAGATAGCGGCCTCCGTAGTCTAGAGGTAACATTCCCACCTCATAACTCGTGGTACGTGGGTTCAAATACCCGGCGGAGGTCGTCGAATTTTTAAGGGCGGAAAAATTCAGGGAATAAGTCCTCCAGGAGGGACTTTAAGCTGTGTGTCCCGTGTCGTAACTTTACGGCATGTAAAAGAACCTCATATCCCCAAAAGGGATCACTGAGCCAAATTCCAGGACGTTTCCCGCCCAACAATAGTCTCTAAGGCCTCTGATAGATGGGGGAAGCATTATAGATACCACTAAGCAAGTGGCCAAACTCGCTTGCTCGGCGGGACTGATGGTACGCACCATTTATCGGTAGGGTATAGAGACTGGTAGAATATAGAGGGAAGCACAATAGATCAAACTGGTCGCGGTGCATGGGGAAACCCACCCTCTCTAAATAACTAACTAATAACTAGTATATTAGATCATTGCCAGTATTGTGGTGTCTCAGTCTTCAGAGTGGAAGAGTAAACTGATCATTGAAAGAAGGAGTATACTATCGATACATAGATATAGGGAAAGAGAGGACAAGACAAAGGTTTTTCATGGTTTTACTCATTCCAGGAAAATATTGTGGTAATAACTCATACCAGGCCACGTCTGTGTCCTGCCATATTCGATATTGTATAAACTGAATCACTGAAAGTGTCATTAAGTAAACCAGGAATGCAGTAAATCTTGCCAGCACTCAATTGCAGTGTGTCGTCATGTTTCATTACCTTATGGTTTCTCTGCCTATTTCAGCTCTCTGCAGCAGATCCAGCAATGAGTCTCACAAGAGGCCAACCAAATGTTGAGGTTGCCTTGAGTATACAACCTGATGTAGCCCAACAAGAGCTTCGTAAGCCAACAATAGGTGGCAGGAAACCACAAGCTAAGCGTTTGGGGGTAGGGAGATTATTTATTATAACATTTGTTCATGTATCAGTAAATAATTGCATGAGCTGTAAATGGATGCAGTATGCAGGAAGTTTGGGTGGGTGTTAATGGTGTCAGACTTTAGTTTCTGTCTTGTATTGGATGACAGGAATTATGTTTAAAAAGATGATAAGCATGAACAGCTGTACAGATATGAATGAAGCTCACATGAATTATACAGAAAGAGTGTGTACGTAGACAGATTTTTCATGTTTTCCAGGCATATACTGGGGTAGTGCCTCAAATTATTCCATTACTGCTTCCTTCCATGTCCTCTCAAATTCTGTATTAATCATCATACTCTTTGACATACAGCCCCAGCTACTGACAGCATCCTTGAATGAGCTGTACATAAATTAATGTGTAAATCATTCACTATTAATTTCTTTATCATGCAGTACTGCAAACCATTTGTGTACTGTGAAATGTGGTTGGACTAGAAGGTAAGATGGCACCTGAGTTGTGAGCTAAAGTGCTTATATGGGAATTTTGAAACTCCTCTTGCCCGGCAGCTTGGGGCTAAGAAGGGAGGTCTTGGAGCCCAGAAAGTGAAGGCCAATTTTGCTGACATAGAACGTGAAGCAGCAATGGCTGACCAGTTGAAAGTTCAAGCAGCCGAGGAAGCAAAAGTCATGGCAGAGAGAACCGCGGAAGAGGAACAGAAGCAGGTAATCCACTCATTTTAGACTTTCTCAGTGGTTCATAGGTGACAGTTGGTTCTGCCCATGTATTTTTCTATCATGCAGATATGGGCAGTGCTCCCAGCATACTGGAGAGCATGTACAACATGTTTGTAATCATTTGGTTCTTTATAAATATTTGTTAAATTTGTATTGTTAAACATTTATTCTTCACTAGCTGTGCCCGGCCACGCCTTGCTGTGGCTCAGTCTGCCCGTTCTTCCCCAGTTTGATTTTAAATTACTCGACGCATTGCTTCCGCCCTGCGAGTACGACAACCTAAGCTTGTTCTTAGAAAACAAAAAGAAAAACAACGAAAAATAAACTATACTTACAAAATAACTTCCACGCACATCTCAGATTCAGCAAATAAGTTATTGAACACTCACTTTTACACCAGCGAGCACAATTATTATCACGTCCAGTATCACCGAAAATTTCTTCGGAGCTGGACTATTATAACCCGGTTTCGGACGCAATAGAGGGCACTTTCACCAAGGGTTCCATTTCACGTGTTCTGTGTTCGTTGCCGCAGAAATGCATTATTTCTGCTGTTTCAATGGTTCGTTGCCACGGTTATTCCAAGGCAACAATGTGCTGTTTCAACAGTTCGTTGCCTCGGTTATTCCTAGGCAACGACCCGCTGTTTCAACAGTTCGTTGCCACGGTTATTCCTAGGCAACAATCTGTTGGTATTCGATGTATAACATGTTACAGTATATTAATATTGAATACAATTAATACTTTCACCTGTTTTTACCTGTCACAGGTGTGACATCTACATAATAGGCATATAAAAACGCGCGGGTTTGAATGAAACGTGTCAAAATTTTGAAGCAATCAGTGAAGAACTTTCGGAGATCTTCGAGGAGAGCCAAACCAACAGTTACATTTTTATTTATATAGATACTAGCTGTGCCCTGCCCGTTCTTCCCCAGTTTGATTTGAAATTACTTGACGCATTGCTTCCGCTCCACGAGTACAACGACCTAAGTTTGATCTTCTGCGAGGCATTATTTGGATGAACTAAAGCAGATCGATTACACAGAAGAAGAAGAAGAAGAAGAAGAAGAAAGAAAGAAAGAAAGAAAGAAAGAAAGAAAGAAAGTTATTGCATATGTATAGATATTTATACAATGTCTTATCTTAAACACATAAATAATTGCAAAACATTAAAAAAGTAAAGAACACGAACTGGAAAACAAAGAAGAAACAAAAAAAATAAAAAATACTGATGAAATATTTCAATTCAAACGCAGATCAATCGACACAGCCCAATCCCACCGCCAATTGCACCAGAAAATAAGGGAAACAGTAAAGAAAACGAAATGAAGAACAATGAAAAATAAACTATACTCACGAAATGAACGCTATGGTAAACGACACAGCCCAATTCCAACGCAATGTAACACGAAATAATTAAATCAAAATGAAAATAAATCAAAACTGTTTCTGCTTTGATTTCACTTGGAATCTCTTGTGATACTCGTGACCCCGTGATACTCGCGTTTCCATGGAAGTATACGTGCCGGTTTCATCCGTTATTACGCAACGGAACCTATTATCCTATGCAACGGTCTGTTCTAGTGTTAATATGGAAACGACTGCACTGAAGAAGAAGAAAGAAAGTTATAACAAAAACATATGAAATTGCAAAACATTAAAAAAGGAAAGAACACGAACTGGAAAACAAAGAAGAAACAAATGAAATTAGGGACTCTTTGCCCATTTGCCCATATATATATGCTAGAAGAAGAAGGTAACTCTTTAAGAGTTTAGTGAGAGAAATTACATTGTCACATTTACATTAAATCATATTGAAGTCTTTGTGTTGAAAAGGGTACCTTTTTTCTTTGTCATCTCCTCTTCATCTCCTCCTCAACTAGCATAATTTTCAAAAGTTTTTTCAGCTCTAGCTTATGTCAGTATTTTTTTTTACTTTTGCAGATAGCTTCTATGCGGCTAGCATACCAAGACTTGAGCTTACAACAGAAGAAGGAGCAAGAGAAGCTGAAACAAGTGGATCCTGTGAAAGCTCAGCAGGTTGAGAGGTTGGGAATGGGTTTTGCCTCACGGATGTAAGTTTTGTAGAGTTAATACTGTCACGCAATTGGGTAACTGTAGATGGGTTTTGGATTCATAATTGGGTTTATTGAAGTTTTCCAACTCCTAACTACAAGTAAGCAGTATGCTGTCACAAATCACTATAGGCCAGTGTTCCGCAACCTTTTTCTACTCGCGGCACACCATGAAGTATCCATGACTCAACACGGCACACCAAAATGTTATTCCCCTCAAAAACGCATGATATCAGACAATTAATATAAATACGTAACGTGATCAACATATTACTGTAATATTATTATATTGTTATTTTATTATCATTAAACAGGAATCGACTCGTGTGTTTATTAACAATTAATGAACTTTAATTCACTGTAGAGTGTAGAAAATACACTTCTCTTACTATTAAAGTAAATAATTCTACTCATACCTTCATTGTAATACTTGTGCCTGCTTAGCTGCACACAGGCGGCTGATCCGTGGTGGAATCATTGACAGTGCAAGTCTCATTTCTTCATCAATGGATTTGAGCCGATCCCTCTTTGATGTCTTAATTTCAGTAAACGTCGAGAAGCCCAGTTCACACAAATATGTAATTGAAAATGGCAATAACACATTAACTGCCATCTCGGAGATGGCCGGGTATTCACTCCTTATTGCCAACCAAAACGTATCCAAAGGCACTTCGAGAAGTTTTAGTTTCAATGTTCTGTCTGCTTTTAAATCTGCGAGTTCCTCTTGTATATTAATCGGAAGATATTCTGAATTCACAACGAATGGATCACGAAACAAGTCAAAATCTTGTACACTCTCTCCAAAATACTTACTGAATTTCTGCTGCAGCATTTCTAACTGTTCTTTAATTGTGTCCATCACCACTTTATTGCCGTTAGCAAGTGGCCATACAGTCGGGAACATCTCAAACAACCCATCTGTAATTCTCTGTATCCACAAATTCAGCTTATTTACAAATCCCTGTATCTTGTCCATATTAGTTAGAATATTTTTGTTCCTACCTTGCATCTTTCTGTTCAGGTCATTCAATTATATGAAAATATCGGAAAAATATGCCAACTTACATACCCATTCATCATCTGCAAATAAATCCGTGTACTCATGCCCCTCAACAGTCGAAAATACACGTACCTCCTCATTAAGTTCGAATATTTGCAACTTCTGTATGTAGTAGGAGTGTAGTGTATTCTGATTCCATTTCCTGACACAAAACAGAAAAAAGCCCCGAATTTAAGGGCCGCGATTTCATGAGGTTCACGACTTACTACTTCGTCTAGCACAACTTTCAGAGAAAATGGCAAAGACTTAGCAACAATGGCTTCTCGGTGAATGAGACAGTGATCGCATCGTATGTTAGGATTTACTTTGCGTACTTTAGCTACAAATCCTTTAACACGGCCTGTCATAGAAGCGGCTCTGTATGTACAAACACTGATGCAATTCTTCCATTTTAATTGATTATGTAACACATTTTCATTAGTGATATGAAATACAGGGTTATTCAACAAGAATGAACCGATTTTATTACACAATATTTTATTAAAGGAAAGTATTACAAAACTCCAGCCAAGTCACAAGTATTCTACTCACAATCAACTTTTATTTCCTGTCTTACAAGTGTTCAGTGTGGCCACCACCTGCAGCATGGGCAACACCAATGCGATAATAGAATTCCTCCCAGGCGCGTATCAGCATATCACGATGCACTAAGTTAGTCGCTGTTGTTATTCGATGTTTAAGGTCATCGAGGTTAGTGTGTAGTGGTGGAACATAAACATGATCTTTTACATATCCCCACAAGAAGAAATCACACACGGTGAGGTCTGGGGATCTCGCAGGCCAAGCACAAAGAGCAAGGTCTTTGGTCCCCTTCTGACCAATCCATCGCTGGGGCACTTTTTCGTTTAAAAAAGCTCGGGCCATCAGGTGCCAATGGGGCGGTGCTCCATCTTGTTGAAAAATGATGTCATGCGAATCTGCTTGCAGTGAAGTGAAGAGCCAGTTTTGGAGCATATCGAGATAGGTTTGTCCTGTAACGGTGTTTCCTTCAAAGAAAAAGGGACCATAAACCTTGTCCTGAGACACAGCACAGAAGACGTTCACCTTAGGGGAATTTCTTTCGTGCTCAACTGTTTCATGTGGGTGCTCTGTTCCCCAAATATGCACATTGTGATGATTGACTGTGCCGCTCAAGTTAAAAGTTGTTTCATCACTAAAAATTAAACTTGCAATGAAGGTTTCGTCTTCCATCATCTCCAGCATCGAATCGCAAAATTCCATCCGCTTCCTTTTGTCGTCATTGGTAAGTGCCTGAACAAGCTGCAGTCTGTATGGTTTCAAATGTAGACGTACTGTTAGCACACGCCAGACAGTGGATTGAGGGATCGCAAGCTCACGGCTAGCTCGATATTTTACTCCCGCGGACTCCTTTCAGACGCAGCATGGATTCTCGCCACTTGTTCCTCTGAGACTCGTGGTCGTCCTGGACTTTTTCTTTTACACAGACACCCACTCTCTTGAAACTGTCGAAACCACCGTCGAATGTTCTTAGGACAGGGCTGATTAACGAATTGCCTTCGAAAAGCATGCTGCACCATGACAACCGAATTTGTTTTTGCGAACTTGAGAACGCAGAACACCTTTTGCTGAGGACTCGCCATTCTGAGGGTAAACGAACGACTGAGCATTGCCGGAAGAGTGATGCGACTTCAGCGCCCCTGTGGCAGCCATTCACAACTCAGATAACTCCTTTTTCAAATGGTCACTGACTCATTCCATGATGATGCTTGAGAACTGAAGCAATGCGTCATGAAATCGGTTCATTCTTTTTGAATAACCCTATACTTATTCACTGGTGGCTCGCTTGGGAAGAAATTTGTTGCAGTTACATCTCAATCGATGTATCGAATGTAAGCAAGAAGTTGTGCATGGCCACTAATATCGGTGGACTCGTCGCTTTGAGCAAGAACTTCTGACTGCTGTTGATTTTCTCCTTCATAATGGCTTCAGTGTCACTGGACATGTCAGTAACTCAGCTTCTAACAAACGGGCAATTACCAAAACAACGTTATAAAAGAGGGAAACCCTTGCTAATCCCTGAAGTTTTAGGGAAAAACACATACACAGAACATGTGGCAAGTATATCAAAGAAGCCGCGCAGATGCGAGAAAAATAAAAATAAATCAGTAATGAAAATTATGATATATCAACAACTGTGAGTAAATAATTTACCTTTAATTTCTTAGAATACAACATTACTGTGCATAAAAAATCATGGCATGTAATAAAGAATAAACAAGCATAATCTTATTTAATCAGTGCAGTGGCTGAGAATAAAATACAAGCATATGAAACACGGTAACTGGGATAAAATAAAACTAATAAAATTCGATGGTTAATTTCTTACAATAGGCAAAAGTTCACGTCACACCTTTCACCTTGTGATGGCACACTGGTTGCGGAATACTGCTATAGGCCACACTGGATCTTCTCAGTCTGTTACATTCTTCACTAGCTCTTCCTTGGTAGCTTCTTCCAGTGGCGGACATTCCCCTTCCTCTGGATTCACGAAATGTCCCCAGCTTCTCACAGTAACAGTTCACAACTGAACCCCAGTGGTTATCTAACCAAATGAAACTCCAAACTTGTCCTACTTATAACCTCTCAGCACGGACCACACAGAAGACACCACTCCTCTGTTGCAGTGCAGTTGTTGCTATGGAAAAATGCTTGTTTGTGGAGCTGTTAACTTAGCAGAGGCTGTTGTATGGTTCCATATTTTGTGATTGTTTCCTAGCAGCGGGTTTACATGCCACAATAAATTTAAACTACACTTATACAGGGTGTTTCACGACTTTAGGGCTTAACTGCAGGAGGTGATTTCCTACGTCTTTGTGATAAACAAAGTTCATATAAACATGTTAGCCAACTACGGACAGAGCGTTCTCGTTATCTCGACACTTGAGAGGTACCTAAGACGTGATGGGTTGGTATGTCAGGCCACGGCTAGTGTGGCGGCTACTGGTGTGCAGAACAGTTCTCATCTCTGTGTGTCTGTTACATTCATGACGCCATTTACATTTTCATTTGAGGAGTATGCAGATATGATTTATTTGTACGGGTTTTGTGACGGTAAGAAGGCATTGTTTGTATGGTACACCACAGTCCACATACGAGTACGCGAAGAATTGCCAGCCAGGTCTCCAGGCTTAAGCCCACTGGATTATTGTGTGTGGGGATGGATGAAAGAACTGGTTTACAGTGTGAAGGTGGCAACGTGAGATGCTTTGCATGGTCGCATTCTGGATGCCGCTGACCACATAAGAAACAGCCAGCTGAAGCTGCTACGTGCTGCCTGCACGGTTCATAACCGAGCGGCTGCCTGTATTGCGGCCAGTGGTGGCATTTTCGAAAATCACCTTTAAGCACCAATAAATTCAAATTAAAGGTAATTTCACAAAGTTACCTTTACATTCATGCTTTAAATGTGTCATGTATTATGTTGGTTTATTATTTTGTTCCGTTTATTATTCAGTAATATTCTATTCTGAGTTTAAAACAGTCAGAACTCCATAACCATCCAAAATCGGACACATGTTTATATGAACTTTTTTGATCACAAAGACCTAGGATATCACCTCCTGCAGTAATGCCCTAAAGTCGTGAATCACCCTGTATATTTATTACAGTACACACATTAAAGAATGATGCTAGGTCAACATGGCAGCCATGTGAAGTCTGTGTTGGCCGAGGCATGAGTCACTCTGAATTAAGTAACACGAGTTTATGTTTTTTGGCAGAGGTGTGAGTCACTCTGCATTAAGCGACATGAAGACTATTGAGCAAGAGAGCCCCAGCAAAGCGATTAGCAGTTCTGCAAAATCGGTGTTTGATCGAGATTCAGATCGGGATGGGTTTTTTGATGACTTCCGTTTCTCCTCACCATCTTCTGGCTTCAGCATGTGAGTTTCTTATGTGTATGTGTATTTATGCATCTGCATGCATACAGGCACTTCCATAAACTTCCCTAAATTTTATATTAAAATTTTATATATTTTCTCTGGAAATTAATATTGGAAGTTGATTATAAATGTTCGGTGTATCGTCAGAAGAAATGTTCCTGTGCCCCTGCATATCTATTCATTGAAAACATGTGGAATAATACTACTACTGGCAGTATACTTAAACCCTGAGACTTGTATACATTTGGTACCAGAGTTTTTCCTTGGCAAGAAGCTGACCACTCACCTCCATCCAGTACCAAGGTTAAGAATGTTGGAACTATACCTCAACTCCATACATTTTTATTGCATCATGTTTAATTAATTAAAACTATGAATGACAGACATTGCTTACATATATTTGCATGACCAGAATGGTTAGATGTTTATAGTGGAAAGGGGAAGCACAGCATCTTGAGAGGATGTGGAGAGGGGTCAGTCCATTGGATTTCCTTCTGTGGTGTCAGTACAGGTTCCTTCTTATCCGCGTAGGCATTAGAGCATGGTCATCATGATGCTGAGATATGTTTCCACTCCTCACCACCTGCATCAAGTCCACAGGAACCCTGATGGTGGCATCACTTGACAGTTGTGTTACCAGAGCTGCTTACAGGGGAAATGCATGGAACAAATGACTATAGAGATAGATAACATATGCAGAGTAATGACCAGTAAAGTTGTCCCTGTGCTTAACTAATGAAGCACTATGCCATGAAGATTTATGGGAAGTAGATGTATAGACCCACGTGTTCTTAACCTCGGCACTCCGAGTAGTTAGAGGTGAGTGGTAAGCCTCATGCCCCTGGTGAAAAAGCCACTGGTACCCATTGGATAGGAGGCTGGGTGGGTGCCAGAGCCAGTCCTGATGATGTGCAGAAGAGAAAATCCTTCACCCTACTGGAACTCAACCTCAGACTCCTTGGTCATCCAGCCCATAGCCATTCTCTGTACTGACTATGCTACCCTGGCATCAGTCTGTGTGGAGATTAAATTGCCACCTGTAAATGGTCTCTACTGTTTCTGGAAATGTGGCCAGATTTATCATTTTGTCTCATTGCTGTATACAGAAGAGGCAAAATGAGCCCAGATATGGATAGCATTGTATTGTATATTTTGCTGAAGTAGCAACACACTGTGGGTTGAAAACAAATCAAGCAAAGGGTGTATGGCCAAAGTAATGCAGTGATTGGATGAGATGCTGTGATAGGTTAATCCATTCGCTGAGTCATACAAATGAATGTATCAACTGAAATGAAATATCATCATCACTGGCAAAACAGCTTTATTTATGCCATAGCCTTCCTTACTAGATTCTGCCAGACTTGTCTGTTGCATCGTTCTTTAAGCCAACTGGTTTTGCTTCTTTGGATTTTGCAACAATAATACTTTTTACAGAGGAAGGTTGTGAGTCCTGCGTCCAACCCTCCAACCCAGAGGACATCATCTATATACACTCAACTCTCAGTTATCCGGGGGCGGGTAAACCGGTTTGCAGCTTAACTAGGGCTTTTTTGAGGCTTATATGTTGTTTAATATTCATTCACTTTTGTTTCACATGGTGAGTTGTAACACTATTTTTGCACTAGTGTGAACCAAGCTCTGCATTTTTTGGTTCCATTATGCTAACACAATGTTCTAGGGTAGGGGTGAAAGAATACAAGGATTTGTGGAAAGTTTCAAGGACAGATACACCGCCCCAGTTAGTCTATTTGTATCGGTCTTCAAATGCATTAGCAAAATGTCAGGGTGTAATAGGAAGCACGTTGTGTTAAGTAGTGAACAGAAACTCATGTGAGCCAGGCTTCAAAATGTTAAGCAGTGACGAAATCGTAATTTAGTGGGGGTGCAGCCAGAAGAGCGGGAAGAAAGTGAGAATGAGGAAGAGGTGGACAGTGCTGCAAGTTAGAAAATATCACATGGTGCTGCCCTTAATCATTTGGAATCATTACTAGACTATCTTGAGAGTGAAGAGAACAGTTTATTAAATGACAAGCTAATATTACGTAGGCTTCGTACGGATATCCGTAAAAAGGAAAATGCCGCGAAAAAGCAAACGACAGTATTAAATTTTAAGTGTTAAGTGTGAATATTCGTAAAAAGTGTTGGATGTTGAACACTGTGATTTAAATAACTAATTCAGTGTAATGTAAAAAAGGTATTAAATACACCATGAGATGACATAAAAATGAGGTTAAATAAATTTAAATACAGGTAGGCCTATAGTATTATGAAGGTACAGTATTACAGAACTACTTTTAATAAAATTTGTCTTAACCAGGTTTTCGATTAATCGTGATTTCCATCCCCACGATTATCCCGGATAATCGAGAGTTGAGTGTATTTACATCCCCAAGTGACAGGGTGGTCCAGTTATAACCTCCGGCACCGGGTTCCCTTTTCGTCACCTTTTACAACTTGCGGGGCCACGGTGGAGATCCTCCACACAGGATAAATGAACTATATAACTAAATGAGATTCATTGATATGTTATGAATAATGTTATAGATCAGCTGGAATGGTGCATGTTACACCAGGCATACCTCATTTTGCATATAAAGACTTAATGCAAGTTCTAAAGGTTTGAACATTGCTGTGTAAATTATTCAGATGACAGTAATCATTAAATGTGTTTTCGTACATTGTTCTGTTATATTTTATTCTAGTTCATGACATTTGAGGTTCTCAGTGCAATGACTGTGTATAGCACAGTCTTCTGGAATATGATACCGATTAGTCTGGTAGACATGTCCGTGGTGGGAGGGTACATGGAAGATGGAGTTAGTAGGTTCCTCCAGAATGTTGGTAAATGTTTACCAAACAATATGGTGTCCAATCCCAAAGGAAAGTAAATCTTTATGATCATAATTTGTTTTGGTAGGTATAAGAGTAGCCCCAGTGAAAACAAGAATCTGGAGGCAATGTTCCTTGATGGTAACACAAGTCGAGATAGATGTGGCTCGAGCAAAGGTTGGGGTTCCTTTGAACCAGAAAACAGGCAGCCATCATCAAGCAACTATGCATATGATGATCGGCCAGCCCCAAGGAGAGATCCACCTTCTGTCTCTTCTTCTTCTGTTGGTAATGAAGCACAAAAGAAGTTTGGGAGTGCCAAAGCCATTTCATCAGAACAGTTCTTCGGAGGCTCGTCAGACAACAGTGTAAGTTTTGACTTAAGAATTTTTGTACACTACAGTAATAGAAGCAGAATTGTATTTTCTTACTTTCCCTATCTCTTCTGGTTTATGGTTTCTTGTACTACAGAAAGGATATATCACATCATATCAGAAACACCCTTTTTTTCATCCAGAGTGTTGCTGCTTTCCTATGGTTACTTCAGAATATATAATAAAGGTTGATTAACTAGGGGAGGTCCTTAGTTAATGGTTGGAAATTATGCAGTAATATACCGAGCAATGAAAACAAAACTTTGCAAGTGCTTTAGTTATGAATGAAGTAGTTTGTCAGACATTCAGTGATGTTTATTAGTATATTACAATGGGAGTTAACAGTGTCAGACATTCAGTAATGTTTATTAGTATGTTACAATTTGAGTTAACAAACAGTGTCAGACATTCAGTAATGTTTATTAGTATATTACAGAGGGAGTTAACAAACATTGTCAGACATTCAGTGATGTTTATTAGTATATTACAATGGGAGTTAACAGTGTCAGACATTCAGTAATGTTTATTAGTATATTACAGTGGGAGTTAACAAACAGTGTCAGACATTCAGTAATGTTTATTATTATATTACAGTGGGAACGAAAAGCAAATCTTTCAAGATTTGAGGGATCATCAAGCATTTCTTCTGCGGAATACTTTGGCACTGGTAGCCAAAATAGTGGTGGCAGTAGCAATCTTACAACTACAGACCTGGAAGATGTTAAAGAAAGTGTGCGACAGGGTGTGACCAAAGTTGCTGGCAAACTCAGCTCAATTGCAAATGATGTCATGTCCTCCATACAAGTGAGTAAAGAAAGCTATACTCTGTCCAGTATCAAAGATTTGTTTGAATATTATCCTCATGTCTGGGTCCAGGTCTTCTCTTCAGGTTTTCAGCTTGGATTTTGTATGGATTTTCTTCTTTTCATGCTACTGTGTATAATACCCAATCACATGCATGATTTAATCATCTGATAATACTTGTTCAAGTGTGTCAGTTATGCAGTTCCTTATTGTGTAATTTTTTTATACATCTGATGACTTCCTCTCTGTTAGCTTCAGAGATATTTACCTCAGTTGAACCTCATGGGAAAATGGATTAACTCTNCTACAGCAAAACCATCAATTATTATGGGCGTTATAACGTAGGTGTGCAGCTGGACGAAACATACACGTCGAACCCCCCCAGACGATTTAAATCCCTGACGAAACATACACGTCGAACCACGGCAACGGGTTAAACCTTATGTCGCTAAAATGCATGTGGTTACTTTTTTCTAAACAACTTCAACAAAAATTGGTTTTTAAAAACGAAATTTTCAGGAACCAATAAAAAGACAATATTTTATGCAGGAAATGCCTTTCCATACCACTTTAGTAGTTTTTCTTCGTGTGATAAACATTGAAACATGAAAGTTTGCAGAGAGCCACACCACAGCTTGCACACATGACACTTGTTTCTTTTCTAATCTTGTGCTTAGCACACACGCAACACTTTCTCATGGCACCATTCTTCTTATTGTTACTGGAACATGGACCATTTTGTGAATTTTCAGGCCACCCTCTAGACGATTTGGTGGGTCTTTCACTGGTGGTCTTTTCAAGGTCGCAGGCGGAGGGGTGACTGCACTAGAGTCTGACGCAATAGATTCGTCATCCACTTCATTCCTTGACTCTTCTCCCTCTCCACACTGTTTGTTTGGTTCAGTCATTTTTTCTATACAGTCCAATATAAAATCTTTGAATTTGTAATTTCTCTTCTTGTATTTTTCGTTTGTTGTGTTCTTTTTGAATAGAATGAAACTATTCAACGCTGCCATTTGCAACAAGAAAAACACCAGTTTCTTTGTCCACTTTACAGTTTTGCGGGAACAAGGATAGTAATGCAGCATTTGATCAGCCCTGTCAACCCCTTTCATATGTTTATTGTAGTCCCCAGTTACCTCGGGTCTGCATATTTTTTCTCCTTTGCGATTCATTTTTGCAGATTCCACGATTTTTGCTGTGTGAAGAGTTGAGATAAGTTTGACGTCTCTTTTATCTCTCCACGCCTGTATGAGAACCTGCCCTTTCCTAGAAAACACAGATTCCCCTTTTTTCAAATCTTTTACGTCATTCTTTAGTTCTTTAGGAGCTCCTCTGTCCATTCTGAAGGTTCCGCACACATAGGTATTAATCTGTAATAATGTCTCACACAATTCTACACTGTTGTAATAGTTATCCTGGTAGAGATGATACCCTTTATCTAGAAGCTGTGGCCCCAACAGATCGACAACTAATTCCTTTATAGGTCTTGATGTTCCGCAATCAATTTCAAAATTCCAAATATATCCACTTGTCGGTTTACAAACAAGATAAGCCTTTATACCGTACTTATCAGGTTTATCAGGTATATATACTCTGAAGATAAGACGTCCTTTCCAAGCGATCATTCCTTCATCTATTGCAATTTCCGTTTCAGGGATATATGTGTTCCTAAATTTCCCCACTAATGAGTCTATAATTGGCCTAACTTTATACAGGCGATCTTCACAGTCAGCTGGTCGTGCATCGTTGTCAGCAAAATGAAGAAACTTTGAAATCTGTTGGAACCGCTGCAAAGACATCTTTTGTCCATACCATGGAGTGTGAAATAGGAGCCTAGTGGACCAATATTCTTCAATTTCAGGGCGTTTGTCGATTCCTGTCATGAACACAATTCCTAAGTATGTCCAGATTTCATCTGATGTGACATATTTGTAATTGTGTTCTCAAGAGTGAGGAGCTAACTCATGTGTGTTGAAGTGCTGGTGAGCATAGCGATTGGTTTCAGTTGTGATGTGATTTACTAAGTCGTCATCCAGAAAAATTTTAATCCATGAAAAGGGGTGCATTTTATGTGTTATATCAATTTTGATCCCGGAACTACTAGTAAATGGAACTATTGTTGGTACAGTGTACAGTGTACAGATGGGCATGTCAGGTACCGCAATCGTGGTAGGTAAATGTTCATGATTACTGTCTTGTGGATCATTGTCTATCACTGTATTATTGTCACTATCAACTTCATCTAATTCAGGAATCATTATTTCATCGCCACTATCATCAGCACAAATCTCGTTCACAACACTTTCCAGCTGGTCTGTAGGAACACGCCGACACTTGCTGCGAGAAGCCATGGTGAAACTGAATGAATGTGAAATATTTTCTGACCTTTTCCTTATCGGGGGTTTGTGACAGTAATATAGACCCCCACAAAGTTTACAAGGGTTCTTTACAACTATTCACAAAAACAATTATATATATGTCTTTGGTTGATGAGTGCCAAGAGAGCAAAGAAAAGCACTCAAACACGCCAACGCCAGTGAACGGCTGGCATCGCCCGGGCGTTAAAACACGCCCACGCCAGTCAAAGAGTTAATTAGTGTGGTATTGCATATATCAGAGGAAGAAATGCCCATCATTCACCTGGGTTATGGTTTCTTTCCTTGTCAGTATCACAGTTATGTAGTAGTTAAAATTTTAAAGAAGTCATGGCACTCTAATTGGAATTAAAAGTTTACTGATATGGATAAAAAAAGATTGGAAGTGTAGATTTGAATTGCATCCCAGAACTCAACCACAGTACTTGCACATCATCTGCACAGCCATCGCTCCTATGCATATTGGCGAGAGTACAGAGTGAGTTTCATAATATTATACTTGGGTGTTGTCTGTTAGGTCTGTGTTAGGACACAGAAAACAGAGAAACAAGAAACAAACATCTTTTGGCTTGTTTTGGACTTCATCCATTGTCTGGTATGTAAAAGACAAAAGACCACGACGTTTCGGAGACTGGATCTGTCTCCCGTCTTCAGGTGGGTAGGGGAGGATAACCCCACTCAGTTGGGTCCGTTAGAAAGAGCTAGTCTCAATCACTGTCCAGCGAATATCAAGATTACAGTTCTCTGAAATATGATGTTATGCAGACCAGTAGATAGGTACGAGGAACTTGCTGCCTCTATATTCATGATGGGATTGTGCCTACTGTAGGAGTCTATCTTGAAGATGGAGGGGTCATGTTTCTCCAATAAAATCACACTAATCAACCTGATTATACAGTATCGCATACCAGAATATTGTAGTGATCTTAATAATTTGTTTTATCCATGTAACATAGATATTAACATATTTTTTACTTTCCTAGGACCGGTACGGTTATTGATGCAGTGCTTGCCTGAAGATATGCAGCGTACAGGAAAATGAACCCCCTCAGTTCCACAGCAGACCTCTGGAGAAACTTCATTATGTTGGAAAGTGGACAGAATTGTGCCTTTTTCCCCCCATTATTATTTGTCAGTCATGCTCTTTTCTCTTCTGAATGTTCTTTGTCATTCCTTTATATTTTAAGAAGACAGAATGACATGTTTGTCTCCAGGCTTGGCAGTATTCTTTAAGATGACTCATAATTATGTTACTGTTAGTCATATACTCCTGGGAAAGATACACTTTGTTTGCTTGTTAACCAAAATGAGAATTTCTTTTGCACATAAACTTTGAGTTTTAGGTTATTTTATTCAGGTCATATTATCATATTACACTTTGATCCACTTCATATTGTGAATATTTTGTAAATATCATAATTTGTTGTTGCCTTAGTTTTTGTGAGCACATATAACTTTATGTATGTGAGGGTCATTTGTTTCTGTTAGTTTTTGGAAAAGTTAGGGACATTTTAAGTTGTAATAACAAATACACTCATACAATATGTGACAATTAGAATGCTGTTCTTCCTATATTTGTTTGTTTTTGGTTTGTGACTTTGTTATGTTTGAATGGTTGTGTAGTTCATGATTGCACAATGTGGGGAATGTTCTCTTGTCAATACTGCTGTTCTAGTGACTCTGTATTAGGTGCCATGCTAGAATTGACATACTAGCTGGAGGTTCAACCACCAAGTGAATAAACTTTATGTAAATAGGCACCAGAACAGATTAGTACTTCAGATTGTGATTTTTTTGGGATGTGAAGTGTCGTGTCATAAAAAGGTACCAGTGTTCTGTAAAACCCTGCTGTTTCCATCTTCAGAACATAGGAACATGACAGCTGCTCTTTTTCCCAATTTCTCTTTCTTGTATGATTATTTAATTATTTTATTTATAATTTATTTTTAACATGCTCTTTCTTCAGTTCCTTCCACATACATTTCTTTTTCTTTTCCTTGTACACAAACAGCCCATTTAAGGGACACCAATTTGTATTGGTTTGCTCATAGCCCTGATTCCAGTCGTCCCTTTCTTATGTCTTGCATCATTTGCTTTGCTTGACTCACTTTACTTCCCAGAAGATGGACACACTAGGTTCATCAAGAATGGTGGTAATCTAAAACTTATATGAGTATGTTCAAATTAAAGAAGGAATACAAATCCATACACAGACTAGGGAATATGGCATATTACTTTCATACATATTTTATTTACTACAAGTATTAGGTTTTTGGATATTATCCATCGTCTTGTATATTTTTTAAAAAACGTTTTGGAGACTGGATTCTGTCTCTGTCCTCTATTGGACCCAACTGAGTAGGTTTTGCCTATATAGGTGTCCAGAGATAGGTGCTAGCTCTATGTATTGGACCCAACTGAGTAGGTTTTGCATGAGGACGGGGACAGAATCCAGTCTCCGAAACGTGTTTTAAAAAAGAAACAGGGCAGTTTTTAAAAAATAGATGAGACAGTGGATAATGTCCAAAAATCATAATACTAATAGCAATATACCATCATCACAAACTTTTAGATCTTACTTACACTTGCTACTGTGTCAAGACTGGCGCTATGGACCACTCAGCGTCCTATCTAAGGGCCCCCATTCACACAGTTTGGCCTCCCGTTCGGCCTGCACAGTTGAAGAGACTGAAAGGCAAAACCGATGTGTGTGGTGCAGCTGGCCGGCCAATCATTTGGACTGTTGGACTGTAGGAAACCCATCAGTTCTGTCTGCAGGACATAGCACATGACATGTGTGACTCAGCAATGTAGGCTGGAAGACTGTGACTGTGGCATGCAGCCTGCCAGTTTATCTGTGCGTGTATTGGGACTGTTGGACTGTAGGAAACCCGTCAGTCTGTCAGTTCTACCTGTAGCACGTGATGTGTGTGACTCAGCAATAGAGGCTGGAAGACTGACTGTGGCATGCAGCCTGCCGGTTTATCTGCGCATGTATGGGACTGTTGGACTGTAGGAAACCTGTTAGTCCATCAGTTCTACCTGCAGGATGTAGCACGTGATGTGTGTGACTCAGCAATAGAGGCTGAAAGACCGTGACTGTGGCATGCAGCCTGCCGGTTTATCTGCGCATGTATGGGGAAGGAAAGGGAGAGGGCAAACTGTGAAAGTTTTGCCTGTAAGGTCGATCGGAAGGCCAAATTGTGTGTGTATGGGGGGGCATAATCCATACACAGAGGCCTTTTGGTTGAGGCTAGAACAGCTGAGCTGTGAAGCTGACCACTTATTGCCATCTAGTGCCGAAGTTAAGGATACCTGGGGCTATAGGTCTGATCTTGGGGCACACAGTAGCGTAGTTGGTTGAGGCATTGTGCTACAAGCTGGAAGGTCATGGGCTCAAATCCTGATGAGTTTATTGGATTTTTCAATGACCTAATCCTTCCAGCTGCACTATGGCCCTGGGGTCGACTCAGTCTCTAACATAAATATGTACCATGAATCTTCCTGAGGTAGAGGGTGGCTGGCAGAAAGCCAGCACGAAATTACACGGCTCACCGACTACGTCTGCTGTACATTGCAGTAACTAAGGGATGGCCTGCTGCCCTCTACTATGATCAGCAAGGGGCAGATGAATACCTGTTGCTAGCCACGCCTCTGATGCACATGCCATCACATCACCGCAGGTCCTTTTATATAGCATAGCATGGTTACCCATGATGCTCTGGGGCTGCCATGTTGTGAGTGGGCGTGTACTCCGTAAGGCGGAAGCCAGCACAGGATCTTACAAAAATCCTTATTCTTGTCCTGAAGGGATCTTTATTTAATTTAATCAATAAAATACATAGGTAAACCCTTTGGACCTCTGCTGCCTGTTACAGGGATAACTTTACCTATATAGGTTTGATCTGTGCATCTTCATCATATGGTGTGTCTTGAAGGATGTAGACAACTGTACGTTGTCACTTTCATGAAAGCATATGAAAGTAGGTGTATTCAGGAGTACTTCTTCTGGAATATGACACAGTGTAGTCTGATAGAGTTTAAGAGGACAGTGTGAACCAAGCAAGCAGCAGGTAGAAGGCTGTTCAGTCTGGGTCTGAAATGATTAGAAGAGACAGTCCTGAACCAGTCAATAAATGTGAACCACATGTGTGAGAGACAGACTGTGGCATTATTTGAAATGTGGGGTTAGGGGAACTGTGGCTACTGTTACCATTTATGAGAGCATAATTAAATTGCCTGTTTCTTTGCCAAACACAGACAATATTGTACTCAGCAACATTTTGTCATCATCTGCTTCAAGTTTTAGTCCCTCTTGCATGATCTGTGTTCAACTGCTTTCATCATCTCATCTTTGTTTGGGAAAATAAAATGTAGACATAAATTATAAAAATGTCACAAGAATACTTATCACATGGTAATCTTGAAGCCATAAGACCGGAATTTGATGCCATAACAATCCTGCCTCTAGCATGCTGATGAAAGGGTTCAGATCAAAGGTTGTTCCATAGCTCAGGTGGGTAGTTGCTGCCTTCCCACTGCGGCAGCCAGGGTTTGAGCCCAGGTCAAGTCATGTGGGATTTGTGGTGGACACTGGGGCAGGTTTTCTTCAAGCACCTGGTTTTCCTTGTCAAACTGTTTGTACATAAACCCATATACAGTGGTTGGCAGTATGGGATACAATATAAGATCACAGTTTATGAGTGACTGTAGTATTGTCAGACTACAGACTAAATGAGGTTGTATGTGTAACTTAAAGATAAGGAAGAGCATGCAAGACTTAATGAGCACAAAGTTCGTAACTGTAGATATGAAGCAAAGGGTACTTTTGCAGTACAGGGAATGGACAAAAATATGGAAACACCTCGTGAAATGCATGCCTGAATTGAAGTGTTTATTTTAGCGACGTTTGTAGGTCACGCTGCCATATCTGCCCAACACCACTACCTGTACAACCTCCGCAATATGTTGCAAGCTTCATTTGTTGTCGAGACATTGTTCTGTGCAGTTTTTTGTTGCATCACGTCAGAGCTAACAGAATTCAAACGCGGGCAAATTGTGGGGGCCCATATGGTGGGTGCTTCCATAACCAAGGTAGCCGAGGTTTTTGGTGTATCACGAGGCACAGTATCCAAGATTATGACCGCATACAGGAGGACTGAAAAAACCACATCCGATGAACACCAGCGTGGACGGAAATGTGTGTTGAGTGATCGAGACAGACGAACATTGCGTAGGATTGTGACGAAAAATAAGAAGACTACAGCTGCAAAAGTGACTGCTGAACTGAATGTTACGCTCACAAACCCTGTTAGCACCAAAACAGTACGAAGGGAACTCCACAAGCAGGTTATTTCTGGACGAGCTGCAATTCATAAAGGTCACTCATCAGTGATCAAAATGCCACTAAGAGGAGAGTGTGGTACCAGAGGCATAAAACCTGGACTATGAAGCAATTGAAGACGGTCATTAGGTCGGATGAGTCCACCTTCACACTGTTTCCTACTTTTGGCCGACTTATGTCTGGAGAACGCCATCCCAAGCTTATGATCCAGATTGTTCGCTGCCAAGAGTGAAACATGGCGGGGATTCGATCATGGTATGGGTAGCCATATCGTGATATTCTGTTGGACCCATCATTACCCTGCAAGGTCACGTCACTGCCAACGACTATGTGACCATTTTGGGCAACCACGTCCATCCCATGGTGCAAATTTTGTTCCCCAATGGTGATGCCATTTACCAAGATGACAATGCCCATGTTCACACAGCTCATATCATCCAGGACTGGTTTTCTGAGAACGAAGATGAAGTGTTACATCTGCCATGGCCCCCACAATCTCCAGATATCAATATTATTGAGCCTTGTGGTCTCTTTTGGAGAGCAATCTGTGTGCGCGCTATCCACCTCCATCATCGATAACAGAACTTGCCATGTTTTCCAGGAAGAATGGTACAAGATTCCCTTGCACATCATACAGGACCTCTATCCATTCCAAGGAGACTGCAAGCCAGAGGTTGTCCTACACCATATTAGTCACGGTAATGTGTTTTTTGTTGGGTGTTTCCATATTTTTGTCCATCCCCTGTAGTTCCTATGCTTAATTAATGCACTGTGCCTTGAAGATAGGGGAGTTGAGTTATAGCTTTTTATGTCTTGAAACTTGGCAGTAAATGGAGGTGAGTAGTTGGTTTGCAACCCAGTTACTTCCACATATTGAACTCTTGATACCCACTGGATAGGAAGTGGGATGGGCCCCGGAGCTGGGTCTGAGAAGTGAGAAGCTGCTGTCTGTGCAGGAATTTGAACCCAAATTTAATTATCTGGTTGTTCAGCCTAGAGCATAGTACAGAGCTGTATGGCTGAGGTGCCCTATTTTTAGCTGAACTTGAATGCTTTGTGTTAGGTGTTTTATGTTGCTACATCTCAGTAAAGGAGATCAGTCTTGTAAAACGTTTCATCACGTGAGAATATAATAACTAAAGCAATCCATAGGTACATGGAGTTGAAGTGTTCAGTTTCAGAAGTTTTGAAATATTTAAGTTACAGTACCGTAGTATGGTAAGGTCCGTCATTCATGATGGAACTCCTATACTCTGGAGGCTTACTGGCCTTTAAAATGAGAACCACAACAAAGATTGAACTATTGATTTATTTTGTAACTGATTTTTAGTTCAGTTAGTAGAATGACTATTCTGTGAGTGAGACAAGCTCACTCAGCCTCCTGCCCGGCAGCTACGAGAGGCTTTTTCCTTTCCTTCTGTATGTCCTCATGACATGGTTCTTGATTAAGCACAGGGATAACTTTACAGTTAGCTTATATTGTTAGGCTGTGGTATATTCTGGTCTATGATGAATAATGCTTGTTTTTTTTNGGGGGGGGGGGGACAGTTAACCCATACCCTATTCACTGAGCTAACCTGGCTTCCTCAAGATCACCTGCTGCCAAATTTTGCCTGTGGTTGCTCTGGAAATTTGATCACCAGAGATCCTTTCAACATGCTTTAGCTGGATGGAAGATGGGTGAATCAGTACCAAGCAGCTGATCCATCTGCTGCTGGCAGTGTTGACCATTGAATCATTTGCTCCACAATCAGTCATTAGGTGTTCACCTTAAGTTGAAAGAGAAGATGCCTCATCCATACATACCTACTGATTGGTTGACATAGCTGTAACACTGTAGACTGGTATTCAGGAAGTTCTGTGTTTGAATCTCAGCTGGGACACTGCCATGACTGTGTTTTCATAGTTTTGCTGAGTCTCTGGACATAAATGCTAGGATGTTATCCCTGTTAGGCCTAATCACTTTCTTCTAATTCCTTTCTAGTTTATGATTCATTCGTCATGCTACTGTTTGATGCTATGTATTCTAGCTACCGACAGTAAATCTACAAACTGTTAATGTAAAATAATGTGCATTTCACGTCATTCAAGTTGGTTTAGAAACATGACTTTGGTTCCAAGGCGTAACTGGTGTCTGAGTAAGGTCCATGAGGTGCCTTCTGCAAACACATCACAGTCATGACACTAAGGCTGGGGGCACACGGGCGCGCAAAATGCATCTGTTGTAACGAACATCGTGACATCTTTTGTAGAAATAAACAAGAGAGGCGAATGCTATGCTTTCTTCTGGCTCCCTTGCAGAAAGAAACTGCACCACATTCTGCAATTGTGTGATGTCCTCAGCAACACCCATCATAAAGTATGTTCGTTACAACGGACGCATTTTGTGCGCTAGTGTGGCCCCAGACTAATACAGCAATAGATAACAGATCAAGACACAAGCATACATCTATTGCAATTTTGGATTGGAATCCATCAATGTTGAGAGGAATTTGCAGATTTGTTTTTCAAGTGGAACAATAAATATAACTCATACTTTCATTAAGATACTTAAGTATTTTTGTGACACATTGTTTTTGACTGTTCCGTCCTAAGCATAAGTAAAATTAGGATTAAATTGAATCAGTTACAATATGTTTTTAATAATACAATAAAGCCTTTACATATTTTGATATTTTGGTCAATGATTCGCTATCATCAGAAGATGACCCAACTTCAAAGCAAATGCTTCACATGTATTATGTGCATGTGTTGTGTGACAAGGGTTAAAACACAAGTATTTAAAATGTGGTTTTAAAAGTAATAGAATATTTTTGATTGAGTAGAATCTTACTGTGAAGCCCACTGATGGTCGTGTTCCTTTACAGTAGGTGCTCTGTATTGTTTGGTTGTGTGTGTGGTTTGGATGGGTTTGAGGCTGTGTAGGATGTTCACCAAAACACATCACATAACAACACAACCTACAGTGCACACTTAACAAGTGCATTCAGCAGGAGTATCCATATGCAAATATTTATTGCGATAAGCGGAAGTATTTTAAGTAGTCTAGTAGTGATATTTCTACTGGACAACATGATGCGACATGATGGTACTGTTTAGTCATGTCATTGCGATCCCTGGTGTGAGAGCCGCAAATCCAACATACTTATTCAGATTAGCCCAAGTAGATATATATTTTAAAATGTAAAACATCTAATTAAATATGTGTACTTATACACATGGCGCAGTTTATTTTGTAGTACTATGTTGTCAAAATTATTCAAGAACGGTACTGCGTCATCTCACTGACTGAGCTGTTGGTAACGGCGCAATTTGTCAGTTTACCACTGACTAGATGGCAGCATTAATGCCTAATGTAGTACAACATTCCTATATTTATATAAAATAGATATGTAAGAAAAGTAAGAGAAGTAATTGCACTGATTATTTACAATATACACAGATTTAAGTCAAGATCTATATTAACAATCGCGGGACCACCGCTATTATAGAATAAGATGGTTATTAGAATGTGCTGCAGAAGGCCGGATGGGCAATGCCTAGGCCTCTTGTATTTACATTTTTTTCTTAGAATAAAAAAAAAGGTTGCTGTATGTTGATTTATGGATGTTCGTCATATTTTGGTTGTCCTCTTTTGTTAGATATCATGTGTAGTCGTTTGACTGAGGCATGCTCACATTTTAAAGTTAATTATAGAATTTCGTTGTCGGCTTGTGTAATGGTGCGTAAGGAATATAATATCGACGCGTACAGTATATTCAACTATTGTAGCATGCATTGAAGGTTTAATGCTCTGTCTGAAGAGAGGTTATGTGGCCACGAAAATGACAATGTTTTACGGACGTAGTTTTACAATGTATGTGTGTGTATGATTTATTTGTGTAAGTAGTTTAGTATATAGCTCTAAATAACCATTTCTAAAGAGAATTTTTAACAAATTATAATTTCTGGCTACGAGCATTTACAACATACGCTTTTATGTATAGTTTTGGAAGTTTATTATATTAATATTGAAGCCAAGTTAGATCAAAATAATTGTTTGTATGCTGTGTGCAATTTATATTATTATTTTACAGTTATTTATAGTTTCGTTTGATTTAGTGTGTTTGACTTGGTGAAATGGTTCTCTCCAAGAAAACTTTCTGCTGTTAAGGGAGGACTTTTAGGATCTCATTAGCAGCTTAAGTTCTCGCTTAATTTATAGTGAAAATTATTAAAAATAGGAGTACAAGGGGACTTAAACAATGCATATTATACTAAATGAGTTTGATTTTATGTTACATCATACGAAACCAACTAGGCGAAATGAGGGTGCCCTTGACATAATCCTCAGCAATTCTCTTATGCGTTTGTGACATTATAGAACCAATAAAAAGGAATGACCACAATATGGTCATTATGCATACTAGTCTCTCAGAGTTTGAGGTTTGTTTACAGTAATTTTTACCTAAGATAAACTATTTGGATCTCCCCCTTGAGCAGTAGTTCTAGGCACAGTATTGTGGGTTTGTGGTCATTATTGATTTTTCAGTTTCAGCTGTAATCAGATTTTTCTCATTCAGGATTTTCCCGTGAATGACTGGTTTGCTGTGTGCCTTGTGTTACAATTGACAAAAATGTATGAAATGGATTCCTGATATATACCATCGTATGCTTCCTGATGGATCTTAGTAACAGAACTAGCAAGGAAGCCATCCCTGCCCCTTCAGATGTGTCTCAATATGCAAAAACCAAGTAAGATCACCAATATTGTTTGTCTGACTCTGACAGTATATGCTTTTAAGGTTCAAAATGAAATTTTTTTTGTGTGTAACAAATCAACCAAACTGAATAAATATTTTGATACATATACTACTTAGGTATTATCTACACAATTTATATGAGTTTCATCCACATCCACATCCATAGAGCCATTCATTTTTATAATTTATTTTAAAAACACTTCATTTTCCCCCACACAGTATGTAATATTTTTAATTTTCTTGCCTTCCAGAATTACACAAAATCCGATCTTTCTCTAAAGAACTGTTAAGCTTATAGTTAAAGTATTTTAATACAATATTCTTTCTGTTTTTTACAACAGTTTGTTGCCACCATTACTACTTGAATATGAAGCATTCATTGAGACCTTACAGCAACAAATTGATTTTTATAAGGTGAGATTCTCTAAGACATTGTAATGTGTGTTACTAACATTATCGAACAAGTTGGATTAGTAACATTTCTGACTTGTACTTCAGAAGTGCTTGGTTTGGACAATGCCTAGGACACTGACTATCGTAATGAAGGAATTTCATGGTTTTTCATAGTTCCTCAAAGCAAGTGGTAGAGTAATGTCTTAATATTAATGAAATAATCGCTTCTTTCCACATCCTTTCACATTCACTGTTATCATAGCATTCAGAATTATTAATCTAAGCTAGAAAGAGTGTCATTAAAGGAACCATAAATAGATATTGTGACATGATGCCTGAAAGCTGGAATAGCAGAACCAGAGTAGACGTTCATTGTTGGGCAGTGACTCGGTAAACAGATTCCTGTGGAATTGAACACACATGCAGCAATAAAACTGCCATTTCTATGCAACGGAAAAGTAAACACACCTCTGTAACAACAGAGGAATTGTTAGGAAATGGCGTTTCCTTTCAGGGGCATCCTGAGGCTATATAACGAGGATCCAAGAATAAGTAACTGAGAGTTCAGTTGAGACTTTAAAGTCAGTTTGTGAATAGAAGACGTAGCGTTTGCTGTAGTTACAGTGAGACTGTTATAAATCCATAGCCAGGACATGCCGAGTGAAGACTTATCGTGTCCCAGTGGTTTGTAGCATTGAAATTAGCAATAGTGTTATAATTACATGTAATTACAAGTTGAGTGTAAGTGTAACAAATCCAATTATCCAATTCAAACCCCGTCTAACAGTCACATAACCCCTAAATATGCGACAATATACTATGTATAAAGAAGCATGTTTGAGGGTTCATCATTGTGAGACAGTAATATGACTCGTTACATTGTAATTAGAAAGTTACTAGAATCTATTTATAACAGTGTGAGTCAAAATCACCTTACCTGAGATTCCAACGAACGCAGGACGTTTCTTCTGTAAAGTTGTGAACTCATGGATCTTAGAGATGTATGATGGGATGATATGGACTGCATTAATCTGGCTCAGGTAGGGACCAATGACAGGCTCTTATGAACACAAAATGTTCCTGTACAGTCAGGAAAAAATTCACAAAATGTTTCCACTGACTACAGCTGTGTTCACTGAGAATACTTGTATTGAATCTTACTGGCTTGCTAAGTCTGTATGTGGATACAACCATATTTTAAACAATTCTTCAAATTCTTGGTGATCCCTCCATTCAAGTAGGTTGCAACCCCCCTTAAGGGCCGTGACCTGGGTTTGAGAAACAATGTATATAAGGTATCACTGACACTAAGCAGTTGAACTCATGCGCATCAATCAGATAATTCCCATAGAAAGGCAAAAATCTATTCATCTGTAAAGAGAATTTATTTCTTGTGTGTCGATACTTCCAGACAGAGCATACCACACTCCGCAGTGACCTGATGGATCTTATTACTGAGAACAGACATTTGTCAGACAAGTTGAAAGATATGCAGAGCACCAGGTTCACCAGGGAGTCCACCATATCACCACGTCACAGGAAAGAGTCAGACATGTTGACCAATCTTCGGCAGCAGCTGTCCCTTGTAGCCCAAGTATATAGTTAATGTCATAATACAGGAGCTTTATTGGGGTTTCATTCTTTTTAGGGAGGCTCATAGCCCTGCGGAATTGACTTTTTGAATATTATCCATTGTCCTTTTTTTTCCCCCTTTCATATTTAATGTTTCAAAGACTGGACTCTTTGTCTGTCCTCAGGTAAAAGCCTAATTATTTGGGCCCAATCCATAGAGCTAGTCCCTATCTCGAGACACAACAACCAGCACAAGATAGGGTCTATAAACCAAACACAACATGGACCATCAGTGTGAGTTAAGACAAACATTTTGAAAATCCACACACATGAGGCCTTGCACTTATGGCCATGCATAATGTAATTGCCAGTGTCCATAAAATTATAGTGATATCAAAACAGGAAGCAGCACTAAAGGGACAGATTCTTAAAGAAGAAAATATTATAAAATCAATGATAGGACATTGTCAACCTGTAACATCAGAGATAAGATGGATATACATATAGATAAAACATGTATCAATGATTAAAATTCATGCAGATGAAAATTTCTAAATACCAAATAGGGTCTAACAGAAAATAAAACTTAAGAAGACTTAAGTGAGGCAGCTCTGTAGTACCAATATAAAGACACAACTTTCTCATATAATCTAAACTGGACGGAGCTGTAGTTTTCCGACTTCTGCTTAGGGATGGGAGTCCAGATGGGGCAGATGTCCAAGCTGGGTTGGCTGGTCAGATGAGCTACCAGAAAAACTAACAGGACAGTGGATAATGTCCATAAAGTCAATAATTTCATTGATATACTATTGTCACAAACTTTTCAATGGTATTGGTATTGGGTAGTCTGCTAACATTTGTTGACACATACCAGTTTTGATTAAAATAAAAATAACAGACCCTTTTACATGAAGATGTAGATGAATTTCTTGCAGCATGTCTTGAATATAAATTGTTAAATATTCATTGAAGTTTTATAGAAAAATTAAACACAAATTATTTATTACCTCCAAATATAATGATCATACTGGTTGGTTAAAATTGTCTGAGAGTTTTCTCCATTAATGAGCATTTCCATTGAACACTGTCAAATAGATACCACTCTGCTTTTCTGTTCAGGAATCTGACGTTCATATCTTAGCCCAGAGACCAGCTATCCTGACTGATGTTTGTTGTAGTTTTACTGTGTTTTTCCAGGCAGACACCAGAATTGTACCTGAATTCAGGCTGTAACCATTTCCTTCCACAGCCAATCCAACTCATTCATTAAGCATCCTATGATTTGATGCTATGTAGCCTTCATCACTGGCAGCACTGTTTAGATAAACCAAAAAGAAATAAATAAGGAAGCAGGCATTCCCAGTATAAAATATTATAAAAATCTATTATTTATGGTGAGCACTATACAAATGACAGGTCACATTCCCATGAAACATTCTTTATTAGATGCATGTAAGCAATATGTGACTGCCTCTGTGGTCTAGTGGTCAGAGTTCCTGGCTACAGATCCAGAGGTCCGGGTTCGATTACCGGTGCTACCAGATTTTCTGAGAAGTAGTGGGTCTGCAATGGGGTCCACTCAGCCTCTTGAGGATAATTGAAGAGCTATTTCAAGGAAATAGCAGCTCTGGTCTAGAAAACTGAAATTAACGGCCGTGGGGATTCGTTGCGCTGACCACGTGATACCCTCTATCCGCTAAAGTTGTGCTAACTTCGCCGTCAAGTGGCAGTCACTCTGTCAGTATATTTCACTTGTGGACTAAAACGTCAGAGATTGTATTGATTGATTGTAAGAAATATGCCCCATGTACTACAGGTTTGAGGGTGTGTTATCATCAGTGAGTGACAGACTGTTATGTCATCATGAGAAAGTTACTGGATTCAATTCTCATCATACTTCCAGTATTCATGCATTGATGGGAAATTTAGACATATTACACAGGAGTTTCTTTCTCTAACATTGTATATGCAAGGCATGAGGTAGCATGGTTTGAAGTGGAGATGGACTTTGGCTAAGAATGTACCAATAAATGCATGTAATTGAGGCTTACAATTTTCAACAAGGCTCTTCTGTTTTTGATAACTGTTTCAGGAAAAAGATTCAGCTGTAGAAATGTGGCATATTGCATTACAGGAAGTAGACAACTTGGATGAGGCGCTCAAGTCTTATCAGGACAACAGACATGTTGATGTAGCTCAGAAAAAGATTGAGGATGTATGTTGGATATCTGTGATGGATTTTATAGCTTAAGTTGCAATATATTGAACTGAGTGTGTTGATATTTTAAGTATTTTGTACAAACAAAAATTGTATATGTATTGAATAGGTTTCTACTATGCAGAAGAATCAGGATTTCGTGAAAGCAATAACAATGCTAGAAACAAAACTCACAACAACGAGAAATAGTCTGGCAAAAGAGAGTGCAGCACGAGAAGAAGCCCAAAAGAGACTGGAGGAGAGTCTGCAGGAAAATGCATCTCTGAAATTAACTTTGGAATCTAGAAAAAATGAGCTAGAGGAAGCATTAGAAGGTAATAAATGTTATCAATATACGAGGGCTATTGGGAACATAACCTCTGCTTATTTTAGGGAACTAATGTAGGAGTGGGGTGGAGCTTGCACATACAAGGTAGAAAGAATTGCATCACTCATTGCCTTATAAACCATCACATAAGTGGTTGGTCACCTGGTGTTTGTTCTTGTCTCTACATGGTGAGTTATGATGTGCCCTTCGATTGATAATCCTGCCAGGTGCAAAATTTGCGTTGTTATACGCTTGACACTAAAACATGAGTGTTATGGAAATCCACCCTGATTTATACACAGTGGTATATGGCCACAAATAGTGAGTGAAGGAACTGTAAGGCAATGTTGTAGAATGTTCAAAGATGGGCAAACAAATGTTCATGATGAAGAGCAAAGTGGTCAACCATCTGTAGTGAGTGATGATCTTGTTCAAAATGTTGACAAAAAATTTGTGAAAGATGGCACTTCCCAATTTCAGAACTTTTGTGTGAATTTCCACAAATTTCAAGCACTGTTCTCTACAAGAGTATCACAGTTAGGCTAGGCTGTCAAAGTTTTGCACAAGATGGGTTCTGAAAATGCTCGCGGATGCGCACCGAATGCAAAGAGTGGTATTGGCCTTGTCTCTTTTAGAGTGATACCACAAAGGTGGAAATGAGTTTATCAGTCACATCGCAACAGGTGATGAAACCTGGGTTTCAGTCAAAGCATTGGATGCACACACATTCACCCAAACAGCCAAAAAAGTTTAAATAAACATTTGACAGAAAGCTGATTGTAACTGTCTTTTTTTTACATGAAAGGAGTGCTAATGGCGGATTCATGCAACATGTGGCTACAGTAACATCACACGTGTATTGTGAAACACTAAAAGAACTGCTTAGGGCCATTCAGAACAAAAGGTGTGGAAAGCTGACATCTGGTGTAATGCGCATCTCCACGACAATGCATGTCTGCATACAGCTGCTCGCATTCAAGGGCTGCTGGAGCATTTCAGCTGGGAATTGTTTGACCACTTCCTTACAGTCCTGACTTCACTCTGAGCAACTACCACCTGTTTACATGCCTGAAGAACTAGTGGTCACAGCGCTTCAACAATAATGAGGTTGACGGAAGGTGTGAAAGCTTGGCTGAGCTCACAGGCAGCACACGTCTTTGACATAGGCATACAGAAAGACTTAGGGAGCATGTGGTAGCATAGTTTGTTGAGGCACTATGCTACAGGGTGGAAGGTCATGGGTTCAATTTTAGATGAGGTCATTGGATTTTTCAATTGATCTAATCCTTCCAGCTGTACTATAATCCTAGGGTTGACCCAGCCCCCAACAGAAATGAGTACCAGGAATCTTCTTCGGGGTAAAGGGTGGCAGGTGCATAAGGCTGACAACCTCACTGCCATCTCTGAGCTGATTGTCTAGAAAATGTGATAGCCTTGATGTCTCACAACCCTATGGACCTCCATGACCTGTTACAGGAATAGCTTTACCTTTACATTTTTTATACAAGCACTTATTCCCCAATATGACAGATGTCTTTAATTCTGGTAGCAACTGAAGTATGTACATATTTTTTGTATACAATATTTTTTTCTCATTGCTTGTTTTTTTACCAGATTACTGGAGGTTACTTTCCAAATAGCCTTCATTTCTTAAGGATGTTCCCATTATCATACTTTGTAAGTTTTCTGAGCTGTTGTTTGCACACTGTCCTATCTTTATGCTGATTACCTCAGACAGACAGTTGAAAGTGGAATATTGAATATGTGGATTGTGCTAAAACAGGCATCGATTGTTATCTGTTTCTTCCTTAGGACAATGTGCAACTGCAAGAAAATTGCAAGAAATAGAGAAAAAGGCAGAGGAATTCCAGGAACAAGTGGAGACACTGAAAAAGGCAGAGAATGATCTGGAATCAGCTTTGACACACTGTCATGATAAAATAGATGAACTAGTCAATAAAAACTTTGAAGCTCATGAGAAAGTCAGCGAATCGTTGCACTTAGTAGAGTGCGCCATGGCAGAGAAGGATGCTGCAATACTACGAGAAGCTCAGATAAGAGGTAGGAGTGCTGTCAGTCAGCAAGAATCGAACGTCAGTGTTCACTGTGATTGAAGCACTAGAAATGATTTTCTTTTTTTGTTAAGGATTATAAAAATTAATTTTTAGATCATTTCTGCTGAACAATAAATATATGAGATTTGTTTTAGAAAGTTTATTAGGCAGTGAGATTTGAGAATCTCACGGTGGTGAACATTAAGATAACCGTCTGGTAGAAAGCTGTGAATATTCTTTGACCCTGAAGATGGAGGCAACATGCTCCTCCAAAATACTGGTTGACTTTCAGTGGACCACATGATGGTATATCCCAGAAGATAGAACTCTTCATAACCACTGCTGTGAGAACCTCAAGGAAAGTTGCCACTATGTTGGGGGACCCTGCTGCCTCCATCTTTAGGCTACCAAGAACTGTACCTGTCAGATGGCTTTATGTTCCTTCAAAACACTGGTAGATATGTACCGGATTACAGTTGGTCTAGTTTTAGAGTTACGTTTAAGAGGGGTGTAGTTTCTTGGAAAAGTAATGCTTCTGTCCAAACTACAAGAAACTGAACAGGCTGATTTAGCGACAATGCTCTAGACTTGTGTTTGGGAGGTGCTTGGTTTGATTCTTCGCTGGGACACCAGCTGTCACAACTGAGGTTTTTCATGCGTTTTTGTGCAGTTCCTCCAGGCAAATGCCAGGATAGTACCTTGATCAGGCTGCTGCCTTCCAAACCCTTTGCAATTCATCAGTCATTTTACTATGTGATGCTGTATAGCCTATAATGAACGTGTTGTAAAGTAACCCTTCCAAAATGATACATGGCATCATGTTCCAGAAGAGAGTAATGTTCAAAAACTTAACCATGCTGTACATGTATCAGAGTTTTCTGATATTTTAAAACTTTGTGACATTACAGAAGAAAATGTTCATCTCCAGAAGCTGATGGCAAGCATCGTTGATGAAGCTGGGGCCAGGGTGAAAGAAGAAGTTGAAAATATAAAACAACAATATAACAAGAAGCTCGAAGTATTAGTTCATGACATGAAGAAGCTGGAAGATGTAGGTAACTGCTGTACCTAAGACACAGAAGATTACGTAATGAGGAACCTCATAATGTGCACTCTGCACCAAAAGTTATTAGGGTGATAAAACAAAGGAGGATGAGATGGGTATGGCATGTAGCATGTATGAGGTAGATAAGATGTGTATGGAGTTCTGGTTGAAAAAAGTGAAGGAAAGGATCACTTGGATAGACTTACGTTTGTAGATAGTAGGAGAATATTAGAATAGATTTTACAGAAATAGGGTGTGAGGATATGGACTTGATTCTTCTGGCTTAGGACAGGGTATAGTGGCAAGCTCTTATGAACCTGGTAATTAACGTTCAGGTTGCATAAGAGACAGTTTCTTGACAAGATGGGAAACTGTTAGCTTAATGGAATTAGACCAGAAAATGCTTAAGTCATCAGTTTAAATATTGTAACGTGTTTCTGGTTACCGAAGACGCCGTAGAGATGGTTAATTGGGTTTATTTAACAATCTACAAATAACGGCTACAATTAATTATCACACAGTTGCGGGGTTTCACACTTTATAACCCTAATCGCATTAATCTGTCGACACTGTTGCGGGGTTTCACGATTTATAACCCTATGCGCAAATCAGTTCACTCTGTCTTCAGTGGTCTACACATTTACCGTAGGGGAGCTTTGTATCACTGTATCACACGCTCCCAATTACACAATCGCACACACGTCCGGATCTTCTTACCGTGACGGCTGCTATACTCCAACTTGTAGTCGGCTGGCTGTTACTTTATAACTCGGCGGCTGTCACCGTACAACTGTATTAGGCGGCTGCTTCAGTAGAACTCGCTGGTAGCCACATTAGAACTCTCTGGTAGCCGTTCTGCCGTCCACTTATATAGCCGCAGGATTGCCTGTTACGTTCCACGTCACAGTAGGAAGCAGTTCCGCGTCACCGCGTGATGTCACCGCGGAGGGGAGTGGCGGGGCGGGCTTCGTTACCGTGCGGAGGAGGGGAAGGGGAGCGCTGACTCACCCGCCGCGTCACTGCTGGTGTGTGGGGGGGCTCGGCTTGGCGCAACATGTCACAATATTATTGGAAAGAAAATATGCTCTTTACCTTTATCA